TGAGAGAGAGAGAGACAGAAAGGGGGTGAGTGGGGGAGGGGCAGAGAGGGAGACACAGAATCCGAAGCAGGCTCCAGTCTCTGACCTGTCAGCATAGAGCCCGATGCGGGGTTCAAACTCTCTAGTTGTGAGATTGTGACCTGAGCTGAAGTTGGATGCTTCACCGACTGAGCCACCCAGGTGCCCCTATTTTGTTTCAAGTTTTTATTTAAATTTTAGTTAACATATAGTTGTAATATTGATTTCAGAAGTAGAATTCAGTGATTCATCATTTACATATAATACCCAATGCTCATCACAAGTGCCCTCTTTAATGCCCAGCCCCCACCCACTTCCCTCCATCAGCTCTCAGTTTGTTCCCTGTCGTGAAGAATCTCTAGGGGTTCCTGGGTCGTTCAGTCACTTAGTGTCAACTCTGGATTTTGGCTCAGGTCATGACCTCATGGTTTGTGAGATTGAGCCCCCAGTCAGGTTCTGTGCCAGATAGCTGGAGCCCACTCGGCACTCTCTCTCCCTTTCTCTCTGTCCCTCCCCCACTCGTGTTCACCTGCACTCCTGGTCTCTTTCTCAAAATAAGTAAACAATAAAACAAAAAAGAATGAAACCGTTGAATTAGTGTTGCCATATAACATTTCAGTGCGCCTGGGTGGTTTACTCGGTTATGTGGCTCTTGCTTTCGGCTCGGGTCATGATTTCATGGTTCGTCGGTTGGAGTCCTATGTTGAGCTCTGTGCTAACAGCATGGAGCATCCTTGGAATTCTCTCTCTCCCTCTCTTTCCCTCCCCTGCTCACACATGCTCTCTCTCAAAATAAACAAACTTATTGAAATGTATTTTCCTTTTTTTTAATGTAATCTCTGTGAGCATTCTCTTATGTGTAAAATCAGCTAAACTAGAATTTAAAAAAAATTTTTTTTTAAACCAGAATTTTAAGATAACTTCCATCTTCTTAACAAAATAACAATAAAAAACATTCACTTTTGTTTACAGATTTGCACGTTTACAGAAACTTCACATGAGTATGGCTGGTCGCAACCTTTATATCCGTTTCCAGTCCAGGTCAGGTGATGCCATGGGGATGAACATGATTTCAAAGGTGAGCCTCGATGGACTAGAATATAGCTTGTAAGACTGACTGTCCCAGGGGAGGGGAACTGGGGGTCAGGGAGGTAAGACTGGGGAGTAGACTCACTGTATAGGTCCTCCTGTAGTTTTGAATTTGGTACCATGTACATATACTACTTATTCAAAGAGTTCATTGATTGAAAGATTCTTATTGAAAGCTAAATATTGATTCATATAACTTATCAGGTGTTTGTTGGCTTTGATATATTTTTGTATTTTATACGTTTAATTTAGATGGGGTATTATACCTATTCTGGGTCTATTCATAAGGGGTGGGAGGAATCTTGGGGTTAGTGCTTCTTGACTTTATCTTATAAACTTTGAAAGCTCACCTCTTTTAGAGACCTCAAGGCTTGTATTTAAGAGGCCAAGTTCTTGTATATAGTCCATTTATTTTAATTATCTCCTTATAAGAATATTATGTATGGCTTACATTTTATTCTACTGATACTTGTTATTTACAAAATATTATTTTTTATTTACAAATATTCACAAATGTAAAATGTTAAAGTCACTTAGGATAGCAAACTTTATTTTGTAGTTTAACTTTACATAAGGACATCCAGAAAGAGAAGAGGGGGGAATAGTGACTAAATACCTAAGTTTTAAACATTGCCAATAAACAGTATCGTGGTTCCTCAAAAAATTAAAAATAGAATCATGATCCAGCAATTCCGCTCCTGGGTTTTACCCAAAAGAGTTGAAAACCAGGTTTCAGAGACTTACTTGTAGACTCTGTTCATAGCAGCAGCATTCACAGTAGCCAAAAGGTAGAAACAGCACAAATGTTCATGGACAGATGAATGGATAAATAAAATGTTGGGTGTACATATAATATTATTAAACCCTAAAAAAATAGGAAATTCTGACATACGCTAAATGAACCTTGAGGTTCACTTGCTAAGTTAAATAATCTGGCTAACAAAACAGACAAATACTATGCAAATTCACACTTAGGAGTTACTAGATTAAACGCATAAAGACAGAAAGTGAAAGGGTAGTTGCCAGGGGTTGAGGAGAAAGGGAGATGGGGAGTTGTCGTTTAATGGGTTTGGAGTTTCAGTTTTGCAAGACGAACAGAGCTCTGGAGATTGGCTGTATGAATGGACCTAACCCTACTGAACTGTACACTTGAAAATCGTTAAGATGCTAACATCTATGTTGCGTGTATTTTGCCACAATTAAAATAATTTTTTAAATTGCCATGAAGTATGTTTTCAGCTACTGAGGTACGGCTTGTTAACTGAATTAACTTCACTTAATTGGAAGTCTTGTTTACATTTTTGTAAGGTAAATCCCAATGACTTCCCATTAACAATGGGATTTACTTTTAATGACTGACTTCTTGTGGCAGACTTGGTAACTTGGGCTTTTAGGTAACAATTTAATAACTAAAGGAAGGAATTTATTACATGTTGATCATAGGTTGAGTTACTCAACTCCCAGTGACATGATTAGGAGTATTCTCACTGAGTATTTCGTAATTCATTTTTTAATTAATATTCTCATTTCTCATGTACATCCTGTTCATCAGTGACTACGAAGAGCTTTGTTTTCATTTCTAGAAAGAAACATAGGAGTCTGTTTCTGAGAAGTTAGTTAATGAAACTATTATTTTATGCTCACTTCCTTTGGAGTGTATTTATTATATTTAGAAATATTGTAGTTATTAAGCTTGTATTAGTATTACTAGATACAAATAAAGCCTCTGATCTACAAATAACTTTGTACATTTTAATTTTGTTGTGTTGTTGACAGGGCACAGAGAAGGCACTTTCGAAACTTCATGAGTATTTCCCCGAAATGCAGATTCTAGCAGTTAGTGGTAACTACTGTACTGACAAGAAACCTGCTGCTATAAATTGGATAGAGGGAAGAGGAAAGTCTGTGGTTTGTGAAGCTGTCATTCCAGCCAAGGTTGTCCGAGAAGTGAGTGATTGGATGATCATTTTACTTTGTTAACTGGTTTAAAAATTGGGGAAAGGAATAGTAACACTCTAAGTGAAGTTTAATATTATGGGTGTATGTTTTATGTTAAAGATGACGGTGATATCCCATCTTGCCCATCCGTGTGTGGCATTCACAGGAATGAACTTTACTGATTTTCTTCACTAAGGACAAGGCCTCAGTGGGGACATATCTAAGCTCTCTTGGTTTCCAGAGGACAGAAAGATAGAGCTGGGTAACATGCCCTGGATCTTCTGGGAGAACTTGTAAAATGCGCACACTCTGTTTGCTAGGTATTAAAGACGACTACAGAAGCCATGATTGAGGTCAACATTAATAAGAATCTGGTGGGTTCTGCCATGGCCGGGAGCATTGGAGGCAACAATGCCCACGCGGCGAACATCGTAACTGCCATCTACATTGCCTGTGGGCAGGTGAGGGCTCCTGCCTCTGCTTCTCTTGTCTTGTGTTGCTCTGAGTTGAGAGAAGTTTTATAGTTCTCCTTCTTATTTTTTTCAGGATGCAGCACAGAATGTTGGTAGTTCAAACTGTATTACTTTAATGGAAGCAAGTGGCCCCACAAACGAAGATCTGTACATCAGCTGCACCATGCCATCTATAGAAATAGGAACTGTGGGCGGGGGGACCAATCTGCTCCCTCAGCAAGCTTGTTTGCAGGTATGACACCTCAGCCCCAAGGTCTGGTGACCTCAGGCCTAGTTCTGACTTGCTGGGATTCTCGGTTTCTGCCTGACACCACATGTCACTGAGCTGTATTTTAGCTGCTCTTTTCATTCTTTTGCTTCTCACCAGCCTGACCCATTGTGTCGAAGTAAGCATGTTGAGACATGTGCTTAGTAATGTGAGAAAGTAGATTAAGAGAGTAAATGAATGCTTCTCTCTGATTAAGTGCCCTGCAAAGTAGCTGTGGATGTTATGTTAACTGTGGTGCATATTGTTGCGAGGCCTGGCTGTCATATCTTGGAAATTGTACACTTCTGGAATCTGTTCTATTCTGATGGCATTGTGGTTGCCCTTGATTTGACTGATAGGGAAGTTGTTGCCATGACTTTAAGGGTGAGCCCTGCTGTGTCTCTCCCTGGCTGCAGATGCTAGGTGTGCAAGGAGCATGCAAGGACAATCCCGGGGAAAATGCCCGGCAGCTTGCCAGGATCGTGTGCGGTACGGTCATGGCTGGGGAACTGTCACTGATGGCAGCGCTGGCAGCCGGACATCTTGTCAAAAGTCACATGATTCACAACAGGTAAGACTTAAAGATTGACTTAACGTGTTTTCCCGTGAAGTACAAATACGCAGTAAAATAGGCAGTACAAAAACCCACTACTCACATACAGTAGTCCTAACTTAAGATTCTACATTCTTGATATTTTATATATTCCCACTCTGTCTTTTTCTGCCCTAGGTCAAAGGTAAATTTACAAGACCTCCAAGGAACTGGCACTAAGAAGGCTGCTTGAAGAGTCTAGCAGATCTGAACTGAAACGCGGGCATTGGGTTCTAAAGGACTAACATAAAATCTGTGAATTAAAAAGCTCAGTGCGGTGTTATGTTGAGGATGACTAGACGTGATCTGTGAGGTGGCTGCTTGGTGTTTGGCTCTTTGAGAGAGGTCTGAGATCCTTCTTTCCCTGCAGATTTCTCAGATCTGAAAATAGTGTAGTGCATTATGTGCTGTGCTCTCTGGAAGGAAAGATCTCGACGTGGATATCACGCTCTAAACATCACAGATGGTAATCTACAGCTCACTTCTCAAAGAGAATACAAGATGGAAAAAAGTATTTTCTTTTGATGAAATCCATGGAGTTCGTGGTGATCAGTGTGAGATTGACCCTCCTCTCCAACCTTCCCGCCCTCCTGGTTGAAAATGGAGTTTTAAATTATACTGTAGCTGACAAACTGATTTCCTAGTTAATTTATTGAGTCTGGGTTATAGAACTTAAATAAGAGCTAAGTTTATTTTTTTGTAAACTAATAATTCATTTGGTGCTGGTCTGTTTTCTTTCTGGGTAGCCATTGTGATTGTTCAGAAGGGGACCTACTTTCTTCAAGGGAAGAATTACTCTTATTCCCAAACTACTGAATAATGTGCTAAGCAGTGCTAATAGTTCTCTGCCAAGAAAACAAATCACTGCATTAATGTCTGCGGGCTGTTTGTTCAGAGAGGCCTCTTGTCTAAATATAAATGTCTGTTTACATTGCTAGAACATTTCTTGTAGTGTCAGGCTTTAAGAAACGAGAGTTTTGCACTCTTTGTTACATATACAAGAGCTCTTAATATTGCTTAGACAAAGGGGACTCTTATCAAGAACGTACAGGTCTGACCTCTCAACGCTCAGAGGGTGGAAAACACAGGCTTGAAAGAACAATGCTGTTTCTCTAAGCCAACTTTAATTTCTTAAAAGACTTAAATTTATTTAGCTGAAAAATCTAGGTAGGTTTTTTTGTAAAGAACTGTATCAAAAATCTGTATATGTTGTAATAAAGCTTCTTACACTAGGAGTTTATTCAAAGTGTTCAAGAAATAAATAAAAATCAACTTGTATACTGATAAGACACTCTAAGCTCGGGCCAGAAAAGATAGTATTTTTGAATGTTGTCCAGGAAACCCTGGCTTGCTTTTCACGCCCAGTGACAGGGAAAGTCAGCTTTCGGAGCCGGTGGAGGTGCCACATGAATGGCTCTGCGGGAGCGTACTTTGTTCCTGTGGCCAGGAGGTTGGTGACCAGAACATTCACACAAAGCTCTTTGATAAGACCCATAAAAGCTCTTTGCTTCCTCAGGGCGTCAGCAGAATTGTTGAATCTTCATTTTTTTTTAATGTACAAGTTTTGTATAAATAATAAAGAACTCCTTATTTTATATTACATCTCAAGTTTCAAGTGTTGGTCTTGGAGAGAGAAGATGGACTCTGAAGAACATTCCAGTAATGCCGTGGCAGCATGGAGAGCCTCTGAGTGACTGTCTGCAGTACTGTTGTGGAAGACTGACCTTTGCTCTTGTATGTAAAGTTTAAGTTGCTTCCGTTGTGACTTGCAGCCAGTGACTTCTTATTTATCTGAATTTTCATGGAAGTGGCAGTGAAAAGTGTGAGTCTTCATTCTGGTGACTGTAACCTACATTGTCTTGCTAAATGAATGTTTTGTACAATTAGTAAATTGTATACATTTTGTTACACTTTTTTCCCAGTTCCAGTAAATTATGAAAAGGAAGTGAATACTGATCAGTGTAAGCAGTAACCTGTTTTTGTTTGCATTAACCCTTGGCCTGAGGCCTGGAAGCGTGAACGTCTGGCCGGAGTGGTAACCTGAAAACTCCTGCTGGGTGATCTATGACCACTTATCATTCTCCGTTATTTGCTCCAATTCCTACAACATTAACGACAGCCCCAGGGTTGTATGTACGTTAACGTTACTTTCTTTATACTTAGGAGAGTTTGATTAGTTCAGATTGATCTCATCTCAGCTGGACCATTTTTGGATATTGGGGGCGTGAGCGTCGTTAGTTGAGAGGAACAAGGCATCAAGATTAGGCAGCCAAAACCAAATGGTCACTGTACACTTAAGCTGTATCAGCTGACTGGGGGAGTAGAGCGTAGCATAGATGAAGTTGGCGTCTTCCAAGGCTGATTGCCGTTTACTTGCAATCGTTGATTGCCCTTCTGCTACAGTTAGAGGTGAGAGACGAGTGTGAAGCACTTAGGACCCAAGGGCCAGATGCTAGAAAATCAGTTTGAATTTTTCTCCTGAAAATGACATGTGATCACTTGTACGGTCGTACCCCTCCAGAGTGAAGCAGGCTGGACAGGTGGAGAGTTTTCATGCCCTTTTCTACATGGGTGATTTGATGAGCAATGAGATACATATGGCAGGACAGGATTTCTTCCTCATCATAGGAGAGGACAGAGAAGTAAAGTCAAAGGAACATCACAAGGGGACACCACAGCAAAACCCATCTATACAAATCCACTATGTACAGAACGTTGAGATAAGAGCGGTAAAGTCAATATAGAACTTTTTTAAAGATGAATATTTTTGAAAAACTATCTGTTATGGAGAAGACTTGAATTTATGGATAATGAACTTTGCCCAGTCAGCAAAAATAATTAATGGATAACCTCTACACTGGAGGTCGAGAGAGATGGCAAATGATTTAGTTTACAATTACAATTGAACCGATTATTCTTTCATTGTGATGTACATGAACACGCCACCCCCTTGTTTTCCTTTTCTTCCTGGGCATGTTTGATGGGAGGCATGGGTACTAAATGTCAGGAAGTGAGCAGTTCTCAAGTAAGGCCAATAGAAGAGCTCCGTGCTAATGGCTGGATCGAGGAGGTGGAGCACGAGAGTGTTCTCATCCAGTGCTTCTCCCACTTGAGTGTGAAGCGCCCCCCCCTCCCCCCGGCCTCACCAGGACTTGGCCAAACAGAGTGCCATGCCCCACCCCCAGGGTTTCTCATCGCCTTGGTCTGGAGCGGGGCCAGGACAGGACATTACCTCGCAGATGCTGCTGCTCTACCAGTCTTGAATTTCAGTATGAGGTACCTGGTATTTCTGTGAACATGACAGTATTAGACTATTTATTCAGAAGCACAGGGCTGGGAAACACCTATGAGAGACCCGAGTGCTGGTTAGTAAGACTTAATGAGAATTAATCCCAGAGATTAACAGAACTAGTTAATAGAACAGCTAACCAACTAGAATGGGTTATTTGGCTTTGGTGTCTTCCCCTCCCACCTACCCTGTGACAATCCCTCTCCCAACGATAAAGCCTCCACATCTCTAGTTTTAGCAGCCTTTCCCCCCTGACTCTCCTACCCCTTGGTCCGTACCCTCTCCCCCAAAGGTCCCAAATAAGAGAGTGTGTGTGTGTGTGTGTGTGTGGTGGGGGGGGGGGAGGCGGGGGGCACAAAAGGAAATAAAAGGCAAGCCTACTTTTTAAGAGGTTTCTGTCTACCGCTATCCACTCACTGGTGTCACTCACCCACCCTGTAGCCCCGAAGTTTGAAGCCTCACATCCCTCTCCTTTAACCCCCAGGTTTGACTCAGGCCTGGAGCAGGATTACTCTTGACTGTTGAGTCAAGCAGCTGACTCCACAGACCATTCCATTTGGTGAATTCTGAAGCCAGATGGCAGCGAGCCTAAAGGGGGGCCTTGTGCCAGCTGCCAACACAGAGCACCTTGTGTGTTTTGTTGAGGAAACTCTCAGCGTTAGGAAGTAATCCAAAATAGAAGGATTATAGTAGTCATCTAGCCGACGTTGATTATAGAACTCCATTGCTTTCCTGTCACTTGAAATTCAAAATGGTCAACAGGGTTTAGTGGAGGAGGTGGGGACAGGGGACAGGTGGAGCAACTGTCTGTTCTCTATTCTAAAATCATCTGGGGTTGCACATTAGGAACGTTGGACATAATAAAGCAAATCCCAAGTAGTGATGGCCCTATATGATGTGGGATGGAAGGACCTCACTTGCCTCCTCTCATACCCTTGAAGCTCACAAGAGACAAAACCGAGGAGCCTCTTCCTCCCCGCCCATTTCACTGTCTGGACTTGGGCTCTAGCCGCCAAGGGCTCTTAGAGCAAAACCATGCAGTCTTAATGCACTGCCTGCCTTAGTCTTTTCTGATCTAGGGTGTATATATAACCTGTGAGAGATCTACCTCATTCTTAAACTTGATTGCTCTTATGAGCAAGATACAGTCAGATCTGTATGGAGCAGCCTCACCTCTGGCCATCTGGATGCTCTCACCCACGTTGTACAACCCTTGGTAAGTAGCAAAAGCTTAAAGTTGGTATAGCCTGGATAATTGTAATTTTACATGGAAGGTTCTTGGGGAAATGCTCAGCTTTGAACTTGTTTAGGACAGTGCCTACTTCGGCCAGTAGAAAACAAACCTTGAACACCATCAGAACAAAAATGTTGGGCAAACACCTCTAATACGTGTGTATTTCTTGATAAATTATATTGAATTATGTATATTGTCAAAAGACTTGAATGATAAAAAATATATATAGAAATAAAAACTGAAGATCTTTTTTCTGTATTCTAGTGGTAAATCTTGTCCACATTTTCCTCCTGAATGGACAGAATTCTAGTGAAGACAGTGAAGGGACTGTGCCTTCTTTTCTTGTCACCTCAGTACAGCATCTTAAATTTAAAGGTCCTCAGTGTTGTTAAATGGCCAAGAAAATAAGTGTAATTAGGACTTACTCCAAAGAGAAAATAACAGTCATTTACAACAGGAGGAGGACAGCAGTGTTGAGGGAGTTGGGAATCCAGAGAGCTCCACTGGAGTTGTGGCTTTGCCACTCATTGGGCTGTGAGACCTCAGTCTCTTTTCCTCCGTTCCCTTATTTGTGAAATGAGACTGTTGGATTAGTGCCTTCTAAGGCCTTATCTAGCTGTATATATTCTATGAAATGCTGTGTTTATGCTCTTATGTATATACATAGACTCATTCTACTATCCAGAGATGGAAACATAAGGTATTTTAGTGGCTGTGGTGGGCATCTCATGTCTGTCCACTTTAAGAAACAGCTTAGCACCTAATGCATAGCACCACAGGCGCTCTGGGCAGAGGTGGTGTAGCCAATGGTCTCCCTTCTTGTCATGTTTCATCAGCTGCTCAGCTAACTCTACTTAAGTCTGCAGCCTAGACCTGTGGGCTGTGACAATGCTTTACAATTCCTTGCACATCTGCTACTATCCTTGGCTGGGAGATTGGGATCTCTTTCTAAGGCTTACATCCTAAGGGAAAGAAGAGAGTTGTGTCCCTCTTCCTGGATCTTCTCCTTCTGTATGTAACATAGCCTTCTTGGACAACTTTATCCTCTCCTTTCTCTCTTCTATTTTCAAATCTGCACCTTTTATTGACGTTAAAACCCTCTGCCCCTCTCAGCTCCATTTACTGTATTTCACGACCTGTTTCTTTTTACTACTTATTTGGCCTATCTTTTTTTTTTTTTTTTTTACTTATTTACTGCCTTAAACAAACATTCTACTGAAACTTCTGGGTTTTGGTGGAGAGGGGGCTATGTTCTGAGGCTTATGTCAGTGGGGCTGAAAAGCTGCAGTCTAGCTTATTAGTTAATACCACAACATCATACTGCTATATAATCCAACTCTGAAGGGGAAAAAGCAGAGTAGAACTCAAGAGGAAGAGCTGAAGGGCTGCTATAATTAAGGTCAGAAACTGGGACCCTGAGGTAGGTTCTGCATGTTGGCTGAAGGGAGGAGAGAGGGGTGCCTGAGAAGGTAACTTGCTTCTGATTGCTGAGTGACAGATACGGAGTAAATCCACCTGATGGGGATGATTCATTTGTAGAGGGACCAAGGTGAGTCAGGCTGGTAAGGCAGACAGACTAAGGCTAAATAAACTCTTACAAGGTAACTGACATCAGACTGAAGCCAAGGAGTATGGACTCAGTTCAAGAGAGCACGGGTAAAACACTTAAGCAAGAGGCATTATGTAGTACAGTACAATTTGATAGTGGCCGGAGGGAGCACTCACTGATCATAAGGAGAAAGGCAAAGACATCACTTAGGAGGCTCTACACTGATTCTCCAGCTCAGAACTCTTTCCCATTCAGCTGCTAGTTTACAAACATGGGACTGACTGCCAGGAAGCTCTAGTTTGAGACACGATGCGATCACTCCCAATTCTCAAATTTTAAAAACTCATTATTTCCCCTCCCCATTTCTGACATTGTAATGAGAATTACATACAAGTAAAAATGACATTAGCAAGACTTAGTCCACATCCTAACATAACCAGGCACCAAACTCCATTGATTTTTCTGAGATGTATAAAACAATAATGCTCAAAGAAGTCTTTCACAGCTGGTAGAATGGATCAAACTACTTCACAGAGCCTTCTGTGTTCCAAGAAGTGGCTGTCTCTCTAGTTTTCTCCCTCACTGGCACTCACCTGCAGGCAAAACCGCAGACAAGCCAAGTAACTTACAGTTTGGCCCAAAGCCCCAAAATGTTTACATCCTTCCTGTCATTAAATTCAAAAGACAGACAATACCTACCATGCCTGTGGCCGACTAAATAATTCCTAACATTTGCATAGTGCTTTAAAAGTTTTCAAGAAATTCTAAATACATTATCTCATTCTTCCCCAAACAACCCTGTGATGTGGGTGTATTATTTTATAGAATAGAAAAATAGATTCAGACACTGAAATGACTTGGCGAGATCAAAATTCTTTAAGTGAGCAAGCCCGGAAAACTGTCTTCTGTCTTCTAAGCCATCCATTCCTTTTTGGTATGTTAAACACATGGTACCCGGGAACATGGTGAAAAATTCACTTAGAAGTAACAAACTCTACTGGATGTTAGGAATAAAAAGTGAAAAGTCACAAACCACAAATTGTATAGCAGTTTTAAACTAAAGCGAACAACTGGACAATTTACCAATTTGGTGCTATCAATGTTAACAGAGGTTGGTAACTTGTTAAAATACAGCAACAACCAATTTCTTATCTTTTGAGAACACAACTGAAAACCAAGAATCAAGAAAAACACTTGCATATCTTGAAGGTGGCTAAGTATGTGGTTCAATGTTCCTGACTGCAAAGCCTATTTCCTCTTAGTTTATATACATTCCGAAGAAGCTTGGATATGACAAAAACTACATAGGCCAGATATTATTGTATCCCCAATCCTGTAATACCGCAACACATGAAGTAGGTGCTCAATAAACACTTGCTCTGGAAACTGTTTTGAGTGTGGAGAATTAATGCTCATTATCTGTATACAAGGCTAAAATAGCGTGGACGAGGACTGCCCACATGTAGCTGCTGCACATGGATCCCCCTGTTGCTGGACCCAGTTCCCACTCTGGCTTCCCAACTGCAAAGAAGAGTAACATAACAGAACCACAGGAATCTGACTGGAAGGGAATCTACAGCTTGCTTTCCTTGTTATCTCAGGGGTCATTTTATTTTGCAGCAGGTGATTCACAAAACAATGGTAGCTATGTTGGAGGTCACCTGTGCATTGAAAAACCCAAAAAACAAACTTCCTTGGGCTTGTGTTTTTTTTATTCTTTTTTTTAGTTTTTATGATAGAGTTCCCTGTCTCACTCCTCTAAGCTAGAGGACAGGAAGGCAGTCAAGGCATCAAATGATGGTCAAATTTAATCTTAAGATAAAATTTATACATCTGGTGGGATTTTCTGACAGAAAGGTATTTGGAATTTTTGTGAAACCAATAGTGAAGTGTGTGGTGTTAAGACCCATGCCTCCAAACTGCTAGTCTTCAAGCACATCAGTTCTAGTCTGTAAAACACTATAGACATTAAATATCTAAGGCTGAATAATCAGCAGAATCTACTGGAAAGAAAAGACTTTGAGTCCTTCAAGTAGGCCGGGAACCCTGCCTGGCCCGATTCCTTATTGTAAAACAGGCACGATACCACCAACAACCAGCAGGGGCAGCATTGTTGGAAGAAGTTAGATAAAAGGCAGTTTCTCATATTCCACACACTTAATTAGACATCCTCATTCAGGACCTCAACAGTCATAAAGCCTGGGTAAAATCCTGGCTGGACATCTTTCAGTAGCTTTGAAGACAGTTAACATTTGTTCTAGTATGAAACTTGAATCCTGTGGAAGCGAGTTTGAGAGGCCATGAAGTTTACCTTTATATTTGTTGAATGCTATCCAAAGTATATGGCCTGGAAGGCTTACAGAAAATTTGTCTTAATGGGTAAATAATGCAAATGCTAACAATGTGAGTCCTGTTGTAATCTAGTTTACACAATGGCAAAATCTGGAACATGCCATACAATCAAACCAATTTCAAATAGTTAGAACTAGACCTTATTTGCAGGTTACATTTCAGGTAAAAACTGCAGATAGTCACTCTTCAAAAACTTCTTACAAGTGTGACACGAGGACCACATACTATTTCTCTGTCAACGAATCCAACATATTACAATAAAAAATCCAAATATTAAAAAATACTAAAATTAAAAAAAAAAAATCTAATACAACAGTCAAACTTTCTCTCCAGCACCCCACCAGATTAAGTAGTTGGCCTGTGTTTAGAGGTCATGTTTTTTTAGATGGTATGATAACTCTGAACACAAGAGAAATATGCTCAGTGCCTTTCAATATAACCATGGAGGAACCCACTGACTGAACTGCAAATCCACACTTCCCTTCTTCTGGCTGTTCTAGAGCATATATTCTCTAAGTGTAACAAGTGGAGCTGGCCACGTTATTTTAATAAACAAGAGAGGATATACTTATGGCTACATGTAGTTGAATTTTAAGTGTGGATGACTGACCCTGTGCTTTTGTTTTGGAAATACCCAACTATGTATGGCCTTACTTTCTAGTAGTCTGAAAAAACTTTGCATCAGCTTCCATAGTAAGAAATTCATTTCACATCATAATCCACTATACACATACACACATGCACGCACGGACGCACACAAAAAGATTCACAAAATATTTAAATATTCACGGGGTGCCTGGGTGCCTAAGTCAGTTGAGTGTTTGACTTTGGTTCAGGTTATATGATCTCATAGCTTATGAGTTCAAGCAGCACATTGGGCTCTGTGCTGACAGCTCAGAGCCTGGAGCCTGCTTTTAGATTCTGTGTCTCCCCTTTCTCTGGCCCTCCCTGCTCATGCTATGTCTCTCTCTCTCTCTCTCAAAAAAACAAACATTACAAGAAAAAGAAAATATACTCAATCTATTCCCTTCTATTTTGTTAAAAAACATTTACATTGTTTTCTTGATCCCTAACTGGGTTACAACATCTGGCTTAAAAAATATTAAACTGGAGTTATTTCAAGCTCTTAACTATTTAGAATTATGCAAGCAGTATCTCATGGTTAAGGAAAACAGGCAAGCAAGTACATTTGTCCATAATATTTTAATACTTTTCCACTTTTAAATACTGGTTTTAATTTTGTGATTGTAACATGGAAGATCCAACTTTATTATTTTTTAAAAACATCATCAGGATCATAAAGCTATTATAGAATAGTTACACTCTACACACTCCCAAGGTACTTTAAAATGATTATGTTTTGAGTTTGTAGATGAACAATGACTAATCCAAATACATTGTCTGTACAACTCGGACTAAATACTGGTGAAAGTGTTTAATTGAACAAACAATTGATAAGCTTAAAGATAACCAGCACAATTTCACAAGAGAACCAGCTCAGCCCAACTAAAATGTTCTCAATAGCAGTTGACACTGATGTTGTATATAGGTGTACAAATTAGCCGTTGATACTAAACAAATGGGAAACCCGTTTTTCCTTTTCCTTATTTTGTATTCTTATACCTCCCTCCCAGCCATCCCCTCCGCGGTCTACCTTGATCGCCTTTGTGGTGTTCCCAAACCAAAAGCTGCTGTGATCACCCCACACCTCAAAATCAGGAGTCCTGAATTCCAAGTGAAACACTGTGCTCTCCTGTCCTGTACAGCGGGCAGTCAGGGACAAAACCCATCATTACCAGTATTTTCCAAATGTCTATCACAGTACAAAAGAGTGAACTAGTTGAAAAGAGAGTAAAAGGATCACTTTGTTGTTGTTTTTCTTTGGGAGACAGAGGAAATGACTGTGTTTGGGAAAACATCATGTATATTCAGATATCGACTAAAGAATTAGCCATACAGAAATAATTCTAGAGGGTTCTGAATATTGTTTAAAATGGCTAGTACCTCTCCAAATTTTGAGCTCTTTAAAACTCTTTTCACATTCCCCAACTCATTTCTAAATCTGACCGGATGGGATTAACTCTAGTGAAATACCTGTACAGTTATCTAAAGGTAAAATGTATCTCTTTCTTTTTTTATACAAATATTTTTAGTGTAATCATTTCATTTACAGAATTGCAAAAGTGTATCTAACATTTAGTGCAAATGCAACTAATGATAATTAGATTTAGACATAGCTTTGTTAAGTTTTCCATACCTTTGTAAAATGAAGCTTTTCAATTTCGTTATGAAAGAGTTACTTGTCCATGTTCATGATAGTTACCAAAAATGGCAAACAGAGAAAACATTTATAGTGGGCATAGAGAATTTTTTTGAAGATTCCCATCAGCGGCTAAGGTTAATAAACCTTCCCTCCCGAGCCCTCCCACATTCCCATCCCAACCCCACAGCTGATTGTAAAATAAAATACACATTTGAGGTATAAATTTTTCTTTTTTAAACATCACAATATAAAATGTTAACTGGTGATGTAGTAAACTCATATGATAATTTCTCTTATTTGCCTTACTAGCATTACCACCATATAGGCACTTTTCCACATAGTCAAATTATGAACAGCGTTTTTCTGTATAAGGCATATTCCATGCACATCATTTAGAGAAAAGTAAATTAAAAAATAGAAAAGATTTATGGAGCATGAAATCTGCGTGCATGTAATATAAGCATATGTTTTATATGTATTTTTCTCTCTGTACAGAATAATAAATACCACTATATCTGATGCAAGTAATTCACTTCCAGGATTGTGCATATTAAGTGATCAGACTAATCCCATCATTAAATTATCACCTTGCATTTATCATTAAGACTCCATTACCGTGTATGAACTATATACAGGACATGTTCCAAGTGACATGACTTTCTACTTTACAAAATGGGTCTGATTTCTGTGTTTCTACAGAGATGAACAAGTCAGCACAGCATCTACAAAATGCCTCTGACATATGTAAGCACATTTGTGTATAAACACAATGAAGATTTTGAAGTGGGCAGTCATTTCTACTTCAATGAGTACCATTCCTTGCCTCACCTCCATGCTTCAAGGTTTTTCAGAGGTCTAGAACTAAAGAAGGTATTTTACATTTAAGCTCTTACAGCAAGTAAGGAAAGAATTTCAGTTTGAATCACATGGAATCCTTTACTGCTCTGCTGCAAATTCTGGTCCAGAGGCAAACTGCAGCACTGCTCACATTTTCTATGCATATCTTGCCACATATCCCTTTTAAACTGACCCAAATTAGAAGTGACAAACATGCCTGTTACGAATACCAGAAATACTGAATCAAATGTCAAACCCAGACAGCCTGATTTACCTTAACAAGCAATACCGTATAACCTCTTACAAATGTCAAGAAAACATGAGCTCTTTTTATCCTTATCATTGTACCAGAAAGTAGTTTATACCCACAAGATTTGTATGTTTCCATTTGGAGGCAGGCAGAATCAATTTAGGAATTATCAAATTGTGTTTGTAAACAAACTGAAAAAAATCTGTGGCACACAGTATACAACTAAAAATACAATAGAAATACAAAGATACCTGGGGAAAAAATTAAAGCTTTTCACTCTTTCTCCATCAGAACCAAGGTTCTTCATAGGAGTAAGACTATAGAAAAGGTGAAATCACAGGTTATTTGACAGCCCTCAGTTATTAAGAGACACTTTACATAACATGAATCATTATAGAAATCAGCAGCAATGAATTCTATGATTATACAAAGCAAAAAGTCAAAAAATTCTGAACATAGATTTTAACTATAGGCCTGAAAAAAGAACCCCATCCAGATATCTGGTGCACAGAAAGCACATGCCCCATGTGCTTTCAACTTTTGTGCACAAAACCTGATACAAATGAGGATCTTAGGCCGGACCATAGTAAATTAAAAATTCTGAAAAAGTTTCCAAAAATTAAAGCATCAATTCCTAGTTGTGATTCAAAGTTGAATTTTTTTTCTCTTCTAGGAGCAAGCAAATAAAAATATAGCCATATACATGTAATTTTACATGTATTTATAGTTATATGCTGAGCGAGGAGACATAGCAGGAGACAGCTAGTGTTAGATGTTCACCTTTGCTATTGCAATATTTCTTCATTTTTGTACACAAGGCCAGTGTGTTGGGCCACAGACAAGGCTATAGATCCTACGTTCCAGCTTAGAGCATCCAATTTTGTTTTTTATTTTTTTCCTCCAACATGGAATGTCACACAGCCTTGCTTCAGTTACTGCAGGGAAGAAAAGAAGTAAAACATTGAGAAATATATTATTACCAACAGCGGCAAGACTACCACAACAGATTCCTCCTACCCTGTGAATTCACAGCATGTACAGATCTCTATTAAATATTCATGCTTTATAGGTTTTCACCTTCAAAAATGTTAAAATTATTAACCTGAAAACTAAAAAAAAAAGGAAGGGAAATATGCCATAGATAAGCAAAGAGGGAATCAACCAGAAGGTTCTGGATTTATACTCCCAAAACCAGCATTTCCTTCTTCTTAGTCTTCAATAAAAATTATGCTATACAATACCATTTATCAAGAATTGACTATGAGTTTTAAGTATCTTTGGACCTCATTAATTCTTTATGGAATTTCGCTAAAGATGTTAAACACTATTGCAAGTTATAATTTCTTCATCACTTCATCACAATATTAGAGAGGATAGTGTTCCTAAAGTTTCAAAGGTAGGATCCACTTCATACATACATCTTTCCAAACTTATTATGAAACAAATATTCCTTTAGGTAAACAAAGATTTTCATTATGTTGTTAATGTTTGAATTTGGTTCTTTGTCAGAAAGAAGCTCAACCTGGATAGAGCTAACCTTTGGCCACTGAATCTTTACAGGTCTGTCTCTACATACATACACATATGTCCACAAACAATGCTACCTCCTTCCTCTGAGATGAATTTCAAACCCCTCCCTGCTAGGTACTGTCTGCACACACAGACACAAAGACTCACATAGACACACACACACAGTCAATAAACAATGCCCCAAATCCAACAGTTCTGAGGCAAAATGCTGTTAATAACTTTAGCATGTATTTTACAAATGCTTAAGAAAATTCTTCTTTTCAAACATAGTTGAGAGCAAATTCTATACATAACTGCATTCTGATTTCTCTTGCTTAAAAGATGGTTATATTTTCTGCCTTGCTTATTTTAGCAAGGTTGGGATTAGAGGTGAACAGAGAAAGCAAATTATAGCTGCACACTTGGTCTTGATTAGAGCAAGTAGCATTCTTTAGAAATCTCAAGGCTGTGGGGAGAGACAACCAGCTAAGTCAGGTGACAAGCCTGCTGCCATGACACGGTATCACGTTTCTGGTTTATCTGAGGTAACAGTGCAAAGACAAAATCAGCAAATTTGTGTCCAGATCTAGCCATAACAATCCTAAAGTTCAAGATACTCCAAAAACAGTCAGTACACTTATGCTTGAAGAGAGAATCTCTCAAAGGTCAGGCTGTATCACAAAACACTAACCATTTGGGTAAGACCAGAATCTGTTTAACATTTTTAGGTAAGCTTTTTCTTAGGAAAAGCTAAATATCTGGGACATCAGTGCAATAATTCTGGTGTTAGTATCTGACAGTAAATTTAGCTTTTTTTTTTTTAAGAGAGGCATATAAACAGCATCATAAAACCAGAATTAGTTAGAAATATCAGTCATTATATAACTATTGAACATAATAATTTAAGACTCAAGAATATAATAATCTAAGTGACTCAAGAATATAAACTTCTCAGCCAATGACTTAATATACAATATAGGTGAGAATGAGAACATTCATATATACTTGTGACATCTGAATTATACTTTGGTAATATCTATTAAAAATTTAAATGTTAACACATACTGAGAATTCACAGAAACAGAATTATACAAGTTTCTCTCAAATGGACCCAGAAACACTCAAACTATTCACAGTAAAAGAAAGACACTAAAAACTATAGATAAAGTATTCTTTTCCTATCAAAGTGGGAATAATTCAAGTTCTATTTCATATACTGTGTGAGAGAGTAAAGGGAAATAGGTGCTCCAATACATTGCTGCTGGTGAGATGGTTAAGTAATACAACCTCTATATGGGCAATATCTAAATTACAAACTCACAACCTCCCACCCCCACTCCCCAGAAGTGCTGACAGTGTCCTATCTGGCAATTTATCCCACATATAAACTTGTAAGTGGATATACTTCTAACAGTGTTCTAGCAAAAACTGGAAACAACTTTAGTATCTAGCAATGGAGGACTGGTTAGAAAATCATGTATATCATACGATGGGATACTGTTAGCCACAAAAACAATGAGGAAGGTCCATACTGATATGCAAAGACCTTCAAAGTAAAGTGCAAAGACAAGAGGCAGAACACTGTGTTTTCTTCAACAACAACAAAAAGTGTATGTGTGGGAGGCATACACTTATATTTGCTTATTCAGGCATAAACAATTCTCTTTAAAATATACACAAGAAACTAACAGCAGTTATACTCTTTCAGTATGGGGGTGATAGAAAGGTAAACTGGGTGTGTAGGGGGCAAGGGAAAAATTTCACTGTTTATCTTTTCACACTTGACTTTTGAACCATGTTAAATATATTTTATTTAAAAAAATTAAAGATTCCAGCTTGTTGTGCAAAGATGCTCAGCATAGCATTATCTGACAGCCAAAATATGGAACCAACATTACCACGGGACTGGTTAATAAATTCTGCAACATTCATATAATATAACAGATGTTAACGGAAGGAGATAGTTTTATATGCCTCATGTTTTTATATGCAATACTAGTCAAGATATACTGTTACACAGAAAAAGCAAGCTGCAAAACAGAAGTATAGAATAAACACATTTTTAAAAAATAAAATTTAAGAATATATGTCACTCACTACACACACACAAAAGTATGGAAGAATAAATGATGAACCTAAAGTACTTTTCAGGAAGGGAAAATATAGGGAATTTGTACTTCTAGAATTCTATGGCTCCATAATATTAAAATGTCTTTGCATAAGCAGATACTACCTCATAAAAGCAGAATAAAACAAGTTTTAAAGGCTTTAAAAACTATAACTTTGTCTAGAAACATTATAAAACACAGTAAAAATGACTCTGTAGAGTCATACTAGTCAAAGTTTTTTTAAAAAGGGTGATATATACCTTCCAGTACCTGTTAATACTAGAACAAAATAGGTTTTCCTGAAGTTTTTTCCTGGACGTAAGAAGTAAAGCGTTTTAGAAACTTTGGATACTCTCGCTTTGCCACTGCCCTTAACACTGAGGCTGGTGCCCATCCTCCAGGGTTCACTGCAAGAGAAAGGAAAATTAAAATAAAACCCGTTAAATTTAATTCTCCAAATGTATGTGAAGCACTCATTTACTTTCTTTGCCTTTAAAAAACTTCTCGTGTTGGAATAGTTAACAACTCTTAAAGTCCTGACCACTAATTCCTTAATGCTAACCACTAGACAAGAACACGTAGCAAATAAGAGAGCATTTATTATCTATTTAAACTGCTCATGGCCCCCTAAATTAAATGCAAACATTAATACAGCAACATTTTAGGTTACGTAAGATAGATTTATCAAACACTACTGTAATCAAATAATATCTCACTTGGATCTGTCTCCTCAAACACAGTAGCAGTTGTGGCCCTGTCAAAAAGATTTGAGGATTTGATCAAACGGACTCTAGTGACTATTACAGGTAGGAAATGGGTGTAGCAATAGTTTAGAAAACAAAAAAGCCTGACAATAAGAAAAAGAACTATTAATTTTCTTCACCATTATTGCTTTTATTTCTAGTTATACATATATTCTATTAGGCAAATATATAATAAGAAGGATTTTTAAATCAATCATATGTGATAGAGTGATCTAGAGAGGAAGTGTAAATTCTGATACAGTAGTTCTGGGGTGAAATTCAGGGGCAAGTATTTTCAAAGTTTCCTGATAACTTTGGTATACATCACTCCAAATTAAAAGTCATTAATCTAAAGGATAAAAATTAAAAAGGTATGTAGACAATAATAAGAAAATCTAGGGGTGTCTGGCTGGAGCAGTCAGAAGAGTGTGCGACTCTTGATCTTGCGGTCATGAATTCAAGTCCCATGCTGGGTGTAGAAATTACTAAAAATAATAAACTTAAAAAAAAAAAGAAAGAAAATCTACATTACCAATGTAGTGAGAGAAACCTCAAAATACATACCATTAGCTACATATGTAATCTTGCATAGAATGTTGTCCCTGCTGATCTCCTGGTTTCCCTCCGGTGGGCTTACCAAGGTTTGACAAATCATAGCAATATTTATTTTGGCACGGACACATCGATTATTTAGCTGCCAAAACAAGAAATAAAAACAAAACACCAGTGTAATGGATACCTTATATTTTATAATCCCTACTGTCCTAATAGGACATTAGGTGATCCAAAACTATAGCTCATCAAAATCTCCAACAAAATCTTATAAGCACCAATAAGTAACACACACAAGGTGCTATGACATCAGGAATGATTTTCCCTCCTCTCCAGGAGTAGACAGAACTCAGCTGAGATAGAAACTGCAGGGGTTTCGCCAGTAGCAGGTCATGGCTTGAGAGGGAACTGTGGAAAGCAGCCTCCCTCATCTACCCATTCAGCTCTCTCTCCTTCTCAGAACCTCAGGAGGAGAGGAAAACAGCTGCAGGTTCACAGCCAGACTGCTGCCCTCGGGTAATACAGGGCTATAGTGTTCCAAGGAGCCAATCCAATATAAAACAAAATCTAAGAAACGGTATCCAATCAAGTCCCAGTGTGTATAATAGGTTTATCACTTTTGTCCCATACTTACCGGAGCACTGTCATGGTCCACAGAAAAATTACACACTATCCAAGTTTCAGGGTCATTTTCAGTCAAGGCTGGTATCTTTCGAATGGCAGAGAGATACAATACATCTCGCTGAGAAGCAGGCCACACCCTCTGTGGAAGAAAAAACAAAAATTTTGCCATTTAAAGTATTTTTAAGTGTACATTTCAGAGGCATTACATTCATGATATTACATAAACATCAGCGCTATTTCCAAAATTTTTTATAACCCTGAACAGAAACTCTGTACTCCATAAGCAATTAATTCCTTCCTAAAGTGCCTGGTAATGTTCTGCTTTTTAGTGCCGAACCTCTGTTTAAAGTGTTCAGAAATGTAAAAGCTAAGATTTTAGTGTAAGAAGACTGCTCCTTTGATATAAGCACATCTGAAGAATACCAAATCAGACTGAATCTTTCAACTTCATGGTATGCCAGGAAACAGAACATGTTGGAATGATACAGAAATGAGGTCTCTGAAAACTTAGACTATGTACTTTTAAATGAGAGAAAATCTGTGTACTGACTTTCCTAACTGATGAGTTTCATTGGAAAGTAAAATGGTTATCTTTTAAAGATGCTAAATTTTATAAAATCGATGAAAGTAGTGTTGAGCAAAGCCAATAATAAAGGAAAACTTGGCCATGTCAGAACAAATGACTGCAAATCCAGAAGGATGATGATAAGATAAAAATTTAAAGAGTGAGAATGGCTTAAATACCAGGAGATAAGCAGCCCTCTTTAAGAAGCCAAATTTAAAGGCAAAGATATTGCACAGCATTACTGAACTTTATTGAAAAAAATTATGCCACAATTTGTTTATTCAAACAATTAAAATATAAATTGTTATATTGAAGAGGTATTATTTTAATAGTTTTTATTTTTCAAAAAGTGACCCTAATGCAATCTATATAATCCTTCACTCCATCTACTATTTACCAAGTGAAATACTTTCAGCAGACTGTTTGAGGAACAATGATCTTCAGATTATAAGATTCTTCTGATTCTAAATTACTTCATTCCAAATTATAAATAGACAAATTATATAAGACAATTAATTGATTTTTAACATCTGCTAAATTTTAGATGTCAAAACTCCTCAAATCTATGTGTTAAAGCAGAATCTTCATTGTTAACACTTCTTTTTTAGTTGACGCAAAGGTGACATATAATGTACTTACATATTTCTTGAGCAGGTGCCATGTAAAGTCAAGCCTAGCTCACAGTCGTTACATATAAGATGCCTCATATGACAAAAGTGAGTTTAAGAAATACATAGCAAACCTAAAATATTTTCATATATTCAGCTACAATTGAAAAGTCATTTAAAGTAGAGAAAAATAAAGTACCTATTGAATTACTATATTTCTTATATGACATATAATATTGCATTTAATGGATCTTTCCAAAATTATAATTCCTTTATTTTCTTTTTTTTAAAATGATTATGAGTTTCAGGTGTACAACACTGATGTGACAATTTTATACATTACTCAGTGCTCACCACAATGAGTGTAGACACCATCTGTTACCATAAATTTATTACAATATTATTGGCTACATTCCCTATGCTGTACTTTTCATCTCAGTGGCTTAATTTATAACTGGAAGTTTGTTCCCCTTAATCCCCTTCATTTATTTTGCCCATCCTCCTACCCCCTTTTATTATTCTTTATACAATATATTATTTGGCAATTTTCAGGGAAGAGAGTAAGGTAATCGGTAAGGGAAATATTAATTCTTTATTTAAAAATTTATTTTGAGAGAGAGACAGAAAGAGAGGGAGGGAGAATAAGCAGAAGAGGGCTGGGGTGGGAGAGAGAATCCCCAGCAGGCTCTGCACTGTCAGCAAAGAGCCTGGTGTGGGGCTACATCTCATGTACTCTGAGATCATGACCTGAGCTGAAACCAAGAGTCGGAAGCTTAACCGATAGAGCCACCCAGGCATCCCTAATTCAATTTTAAATATTTAGAATAGCAAAGGAAGAAATGAAGCGAATGTGAACTGAAAGCAAAATCAAAGTGAACCAATTTAGGACAAAGTTTCTGTGTGCTCTGGTATATGACCAACTTCTTAATAGTTATACATGGCAAATTTCCTTTGTTTTTAGATGATCCACTTAGATGACTTTTTATCAGTCTTAACATACACCAATAACATTAATTTTCCATTACCCTTAATACTGTTGTCACAGGAAACTATGATTCACTTTTTTAAATGTTTGTTTATTTAGAGAGAAGGGGAGAGAGAGAGAGAGAGAGAGAGAGCGAGAGAGCGAGCGAGCGTGTGCATCAGCAGGGGAGGGGCAGACACAATCCCAAGCAGGCTCTGTGCTGCCAGCGTGGAGCCTGACATTGGGCTTGAACCCACAAACTGTGAGAACACGGCCTGAGCCACAATCAAGACTCAGAAGCTTATTAACCAACTGAACTACCCAGGTGCCCTTATGATTCACTTTTATATGTGATAACTATGACTTATCTCCTATAAAAGCTAGATGCTAGAAAAATATTTAATTGGATTTCAGTATTTTCTTTTCTAAACTTTACATGCACATACTAACTGGAGATCTTTATCAAACAAACTGTTTCTGGAGTATTTCTCAGATTGTCTCAGGTTCTGCCTTAAAGAAGCTGATATCCTTTCAAATATGTGACATCCATGCATCATTAATAAAGTCTTTGGATCTTTTACACCATTTAATTTCCTGCCAAATTTTACTTTAGAGAATTTCTCTGTCTCAGTTTGAATTATGGTGAAATCCTTTTGGGATGAAGAGATCTTTACCTTGTGCGTTTGATAAATGATGATTGCATTATCAGCTAATGTTTCCACCACATGAAAGTTTTCTATAGTTGCTGAAATGAAGAGAAAATATTAGTAGCCAAAAGATACATTACCTCTTTCTAGAATGTGTTTAACTCATGTATACTGATGGACAGACACTGTGGTAACATGAACAGGATTCTGCCCTATGTAGGCTAAGTCTAAATGGAAGGTGGTTAAGGCTTATATTAGGGCTCCAGACAGTGGCTATGAGACCTGATCACCAAGAAATCTCACTTTTTTTGGTTCAATCTCTAGCTTACATAGCAATAAAGCAATTCTACCCACACATATTACCCAGACACAAATTCCTATCTAATTCTATAAGACTTTCCTATAATCTCTAATTTATTGAAGCTGAAGAAATGGTCCTGTCTAGGCTTAGTTGATTATATTTGTGAAAAAAGAGTGTCAAACTGTCACTGATAAACATCTTACTATGTTCAAAACTTATCTCTATTTATGACATTTGGTGACTAAGAGGAACACACACACAAACACACACTCCAAGAATAGCTCTCAACAGACCATGGCAGGATTTATTTAGGGTTTACGAGGAAAATAAAACAATCTGGGAAAATATATAATAAAACAGAAACCTTTAATTTTATTACTGGTCTTTCTACTAACTAGGCTCTGTGGCTTCTGACAAGTCACTTAATCTATCTGAATTTTATGTTTTTACCTTCCTGTCATGCAGGATTATTGAAATACTGGATCAAATCCTATAATGTAGCAAGAAGCATTTTGTACAGCAAAAAGCTCCATTTAAATGCAAGTTAAAAAAAAAAAAAGTAAATGCAAGCTATTAGCAGATTCTTGAGGTATTTTCTACATTGACTTTGTAAACTGTAGATGAGATGCAAAAAACTAGGTTGGATTTGACATTCAATTTGAAATAATAATTATATTAAGATATATTAATAATGGCAGCTTACTTTCCCAATCATTGCGAACATCAACATTCCAGAAGTAATTGCAGACTTCATGTCCTGTAACGCCTTTCACTGCATGGGTAGCTTTCAAAGGATCCAAAACAATCCCGTTTTCTTCTACTTCCCTTCTATATACCTAAAGAGGATATATTTAAAAACCTATTTAAAAAATATGAATTAAATCCCTGAAGTACAAACCTGAAAGCAGGTTTTTAAATTTAGCTGCTTTTTAGAATTTTATTTATGAAAATCTATATATGGAATATAAATATTTTGCTAAAAGAAAAAAAATTCAAGTTATTAACACAGACAACACATTAAAAAATACTTAAAACTGCAAAACTGAGGTAAACTTCAATTATGAGAAACATGCATATGCAATGAACACCTAATTACACAAGTTGTTAAATTAAGCCTGGTGAGAACATCATCTCCTTAAGGATACTGATGTACAGCAGTTTTCCTCAGAACCAGCATCTAGAATAGTATCTGAAACACAGTAGGCTCTCAATTTTTTATTGCATCAATGACTGAAAGCTAAAATGGCATGAGGATCTATGCTGTCTTGCTATTTTAAATACTGAAGTTATTTACCTAAAGTGCTAAGTAAAATTAATTATTTCAAAATTATAAGTTCGCTACTTTAGAAAGTTTTACAAGAAGTTCATTTCATGAACATGAAATGAATCACCATATTATTACAGGAAGCACTAGATCTCAATTTATGGAATAGTTTATGGGTCCAGATACTGTTAGGCATTTCACATACAGTTTCTTTTTTAAAATGTCCCTCACCAAACTACTTTTCCCTACATGCTTATTTATTTGTGTTATTGGGACTATTTTCGCAGTCACCTGAACTGGAGACTTTAGACTTTTAACTTCTCTCCTCACACTTCACATAGCTATTAAGCTCATTAGTAATCCTCGAGAACAGCCTGACTCCTCTACTACTGGTTACTTCTTTTAGGTAGGCTTTCATCACTATCTACCTGACTCTCTTAAGTGGTATATTTGGTCTCTGGTTTCTTCTTTATGAGCTTTATCTTCCTAAAATGTTACTTTGCATACAGTGGCTAACCTACTGCTATAGACAATAGGCTACTGTCTCCAGTGGGCTATTTTATACTATCCACAATCCAATCCCTCTCTTTATAATGTTGTGGGCTGTAGGAACACTTATTCTCTATTCTTCATTCCACACGGAGGGACTTCATCTAGACTATCAGGTTCTGGTTTCTCTGTGCCCCTTCACTTTCTCCTCCCTACAGGGGAAAGAAGGACAAATGAATGTCAAGTACAGAATAAGGGCTGGTAGGCTTGGCTCACCCCTTTCTCCACAGAGAATATGTATTCTGGTTTTCTTTTGGAGTTTTCTCTCGGGGGAAGGCCTGTGATTATCTAGCTATGTCAAAAACATGCTTAATTCTGGGGTAACAGATTAGCAAGACCTTGTGGCTGCTGATCTAAAGCTGTATTTTCCAATCAGCTTACTAGATTTTTAAAAAAATGTTGGTTTATTTTTGAGTGAGAGAGAGTGCAAACAGGGGAGGGGCAGAGAAAGACGGAGACACAGAATCCAAAGCAGGTTCCAGGCTCTGAGCTGTCAGTACAGAGCCTGACACGGGTCTCAAACCCACAAATTGTGAGAGCATGACCTGAGCCAAAAGTCAGAGGCTCAACTGACTTAGCCACCCAGGTACTCCTCAGCGTATAAGATTTATAGCTAACATTTTGGTATTTCATTTGGTATCTCATTTGCTTGTCTCTTGTTTCTTCTTTCTTAATTCGTTCTCTATTCAAGAGGAAAGGAAATTCCAACATCTAATACTTATTTCTATTGCTAGAATACTTCTGGTCAATATAGTCTATTCAAAACTCCTGAAAAAAAAAAGTCTGCCTTCAAGTTTTCGCCCCCCCTTTTTTTTTTTTTGGTCTAAAATACCCTTCCCTCACCTTTGTCACAACTTTGATTTCATTTCTATACATAATTCAAATGCTTCTCCTCAGTGTAAAACAATGTTTCAAACCACAGAGAACTGTTTCTTTTCCAGTTTTCTCCACTACTCATCTGTGCTCTTCATTCAATACATCATCAGAAAGAGACAAGTAACAGTATCTTTACAAGTCAATATCCCCCTTCCCCAATAAAAGTTTCAGGTTGGAAATGGCTTATTAAACATCTCTTTATCTTTAGTGTAGCCTTGGGCATGAGGTCATCCAAAATTCAATGTAGCTGCTGTTCTGAATCCATCTCTAAATCTTGTTCCTTGCTCTTATTCTCGGTCTCTGGTATTTAAGGATATGAACAAGATTAGCAGACCCACCTCCAAATATCGAAAGAAAATGCAGTGAGAGAAAGGACTAGAAGTATAGACCATAAGGGGGAACAAAGTGACATCTGGGTACAACATTCAAAAATTAAAAAATAAATAAAGAGAAATATCCAAACTTCAGCTAATTATGAGAGCCAGTAGCTAATTATGATTTATTCATATCTAAACCCCCAGATTTTATTTTCTCCCTGGCTCAGGCAAAACATAATGGTTTGTTCATTTCTTTGATCATATGTAATAATCTGTTTAAAAGGAATTTTACAATGCTACCCTCCTTCACATCACTGGGCAGTAATGATAATATGACTGTAAGAGAGCTCTAATTAGCAATCTGTAACATTTTACTGGGAATTACCTTCATTTCTCCTTCTTCTACAACCAACTGCCAGTTAGCATCTCCACCTACATCCTGTAGTGAGTAAGTCATATGGTTTTGCACCATCTCTTCAACCTTGGAAAGAAAAATACAGCCATAAGAATCCAAATCCAATGAACAGCCATGTCATCATCTCTAAAAGAGAATGGTATTCAGTTTATTTCAGTTTAGAAATGATGTTCTTAGAAATCTGAGCAACCAGATGCACAAAGGTTAGTAGATTTTATACAGTGTTGAAGAGTTTAGTCCACATTCCAGATATCATATCCAGGTTAATCACAGGAGGGAGAAATGCAGAGAAGGAAAATGTTTCACTCATATAACATATGTTGGCCCAATGTAAAGCAAGTGAGCAAAAATAAGCATTTTCTGGGAGAAAATAAAGTTCCATCCTTCACCAGAAAATGTTTCCTTACAGAAAAAATATTTTAAAACAAAAAATCATGGGACACTAAGGGTAAAAGGGACATGACGAGACAATCTAGTCCAGTGCTTTTATGTTTAAGACTACCCAGATACCAGTTTGTTATATGGCAAGGTTTCCCTACAAAATGATAACAAAACCTTCATTACCTCACTGATAAACTTCATTTCACTTTTACCATGAATAAAAAATAACCAATCCCCTACTTACTTGACTTCAATTTCATTATTTTGCTTTCTTTTAGGGAAAATGCTCATAATCATATATGCAAACATTTACAAATAATCACCTTTTAGTGTCTTCTTTTAAATTACTGTCTTTTTTCCAAAATTTAAATAAAACCTCTGCTTTTAAACTATCACCAGTTACTCCTACACATCTTATATGAACTTTAAATAAAACTGAGTATTTCACACTCCCAGAATCCACAATCATTTACTGGTAAGATTTCATGTGAGTGCTATCTGCAAAATCTCCTAGTCTGAAACATGTTTTGAAACAGAAGTGAAATGATAAAAAGATGGTCTCTGAAGGAGCTGTTTCCTTTATCATCTATGCAGAGATGCTTTTTTTAAGCTCCATTTTCTAACCTTTTACTCATCATTTTGTTTTATACAATAAGTACATCAGAGGAGGCAGGAAAACAGTTGGAAATATGTATATTACACTTCAGCTTAATTTATTCCTAAGTTTACTTATTACAAAAGTCTACTGTGCTCATTAGGGATACAGAAAAAGAACCAGGTTTATATTTTGAAATAAATATATTAATGATTTGGGGGCAAAAATTCTTAAAATTATTAACTCTGGAGGTATAATTGTTCTACACAGAAGGATGTTACTAATGTGTTACAGTGACATATACTTCTGCTACATAAAGTTTTCTTGATTCAGAATGCATTTTTGCTAAGTTAGGTATGACTCTAAGTGTCACTGGTAATAATCATGAAAGTTTTTGATAAAAACTTTATATTGAGGCTCTACAATCTATTTCTGTACTAAATAAACACTAACATTTTACATCTTTAAAAACTTATTATCTTCAAAACAATGTGAATGACACTGGGCTACAGACCTGAAAGAAATTTAAAATAATGTAACTAATAGTACATTCTATAATTTTAAAAAGGCTTCATTAGAAGACATAACTCCAGGGGCTGCCTGGAAACATTTATATGCCCCTGTAAATGTGAAATCTGCTGAGAGTAACTAGCAAAGACTAATGCAGGATTCCAAATTCTAAGGACATACAAAATGTAACTGAGTTCCCAAAGAGGAAGGAATACAGAAAGTATCAATTAGCATACATAAATAAAACAACAGCCACAGCACTGGCATGATTCATTTGTCTGTATCACATCGTGACTGGGAAAATTTTTACACTTTTCAGATCAAAAGATATTAAAAATCTTCAGATTTGAAATATGTACTTTATAGGTAGGACAATACAAGTTGAGAAGACCTGTATTTATTATGAGATTAGAGGCAGAAAAAAATTTTTTCACAGAAGTAAGACCTAGGTCAAATAGACCACTTAGGAAAGAAGAATGAAAGGATTTTATTGTTAAAAAAGAGTTGTTTAAAAAAAATTTTAGTACCATTTTTGCTTTTGTTGCAAAGTACACAGGTAATTGTGTTTTTGTTTGGGAGATTATTCTCGATAAATTATTTCAAATGTTGGAATAATGAGAAGACATTGTTGTGTTTTGGTCTCCTAAAAACTATAGATTGCACAAACATAAATTGACAGCCGGTAACGTAAGTTAAAACAATGTGCAGTAAGCATATTTAACACTGTCTTTCTAGATAGATGAAAAAATGGTATTCCTATCTTAGTTACCACTGCATCTATGGAAAAGTGTTCAGTCTTTTGTTCTCATGTACTTCCTTGACTTAACTGGGCAAGAAACAAACAATATTAATTTAGCGCTGTGCTTCTAGGAAATTAAATAAATTGAAGTACCCAATTATTGTAGTAACCATTTCTGCAAAGCTTTCATCATGGAATCTTTATCCATTATGGCATCTTCCTTGAGGTAATAACACTGAGATTAAGAAGGAGAAGTGATACAGGTGAAATCTCACTATAAACAATTTCATGTTCACTGCAATGAAATGTGAAGTAGTCAATGTTACTATTAGGGCAGTGACTCACACATTTGTGTCCACACTGACAGTTCCATCTAACCTAATGATCTCTTTACTGTTTTCACTTATGACTGCATATCCCAAATACTTGGGAAACGTTAAGTTAGATGACAAGGATAAACACAAGCAAAATTTACCACTTCATTAGGCTCAAAATTTGATACACTAGGAAATAATATTACTAGTCACATCTGCTATCACTTTAAAACAAAAGACTGGATCAAAATCATTAAAGCAGGTTTCATCTGCTTTCATAGCATTCACTAGTTTTAATTTGGTAGTATAATTTCAGGAATCATGCCTTTGATTTTTTTTTGGACCTAGAGTTGAAAATGATGAGATGACATACAAAGCATCTCCATAGCAAATTAACTACGAAAAATGGAGATAAAACACAGTTAAAGTAAGAGATGATGGAGCTCCAATTCTAGCCTTTTCTTTCACTTCCCATCTGAGTCGCTCAGTATGCTATCTGAGGAGGCTAAATGGATTTTTCTAACATTATCAATACAAAAATTTTAAAAGAAAATTGCCCTTTGATGTAATAAACAAAAGTCTAGAAGTGCTCAAAGACTGCTAAGATCTCTTTCTCTCACTCATGTGAAAGGAATACAACTATGCTTATTGTTACAATCATAGAGGGATTTGTTGGACAGAATAACTTATTAATAACAACTTAACAGTACACTGCTAACACAAAGGAAAAATGGACAAGGACTTAAACAGTTCAGTGAAGACATACAAAAGGCCAAGAAGCAAAATTTTTAGTCTCTGAGACTGGCAAAAAGTAACTGAATTATAATATTCAGTGTATTCACTGTCAACATAACAAAAGAAAATTGACCTGGGAGTGTCACTGGTTCAACTTTTTTAATGAACAGTTTGGCAATAAAAATTAAAAACAAATTAGAAATGTATATGGCTTTTGTCCTAACATTTCTAGTTCTATGAATGTACTCTAAGGAAACAGCTGGTAAGTGTACAAAGATATACACACAGGCACATACAAAGGATGGTGTATTTATCAGGATGCTCCTGTAGCACTATTTATAACAGAGACAAACTGAAAACAAACTAAATGTTCAATATTAGGTGAGTAGGTAAATCCAGTATGCACATCCATGTAACAGACAAGGAGATAAAGATCCATATTTACCAATAAGAAGATGGGCTTAATTATATGTTAAAAAAAAAAAAAAAAGGCTTGGTCATAAAGCAATATACTGAATTACTTACTTTGGTAGGAAAAGACAATTATTAAAGTGTGTGCGCTTAATCAATGAATGTGACTGATTTCTTATATACATGGAAAAAGGATATGCATGAGAATATGAATAGTGATCTGATATTTTACTTTATTTACTCTACTTTCTAGTTCTGCTAAAATTAACATGTATTATTATACAATAAACTGGGGAGGGGTTAAATAATTACAAGAATAAAGTGTCACTATGGACATAAAGGGGGGAAAGAGCTTTATATAGAACTGTTTTTGCAATAATGTTCACTAATGATTAACCTGATGTATTACCCACCTTTTGTTATTTTTTATTTCCAAATAGAGAATGATTTTTTATTTTCTGCTCTTTGATTTTGAGGTGACATCAGTGGTTATTGTGTTATGCAAATAAATATGACACAAAAGATCAACTTATAAATCCAAGTTCTTTCTACTTTCTGTACACTGTAAGAGCTATTTATTTCACTCCTCAAATTTGCCAAACAGATAGACTCATGTGTTGCTACTAATTTTCTAGGAGATTCACATATTTTATTTGAAGTTATTTTCAGAACATCTTTCAGTTCTATGTTTAATTATTCTACTCAATCAGGAGCATGAACCTAACCTCATCAAGAACAAAGTAGTCATGAGCCAAGATTTGTACACACATGGCAAAGCCAAATTAATAGTTAACTGCCAGAGCCCAAGTCTCCTAATGACAACAAAGACTTTAGCAAGGACCATAAATACTTGAAGACCACAAAGTCATTATTCTTCAATTTTGCCTCTTTTGGCAAATAGAACGGTACGATAAGGGGCACCTGGGTGGCTCAGTCAGTTAAGCATCCAACTCTTGATTTTGGTTAAGGTCCTCATCTCACAGTCCGGAGATCAAGCCCCAAACTGGGCTCTGAGATGGGTGTGGAGCCTGGTTAAGATTCTTTCTCTCCTTCTCTCTCTGCCTCTACCCTGTTTGTATATGGGCACATGCACTTTTTCTTTCAAAATAGATAAGTAAAACGGTATAATAATCAAAAGCTAAAAAAAGATTCTGAATAACCACAAGCATCATATATGAAAAATTTCTAACAGAAAGATCTTTCTCAACTTATATACATGAGTTACACAAAATATAAATAAGTATGCTACAATTTGGCAAAGTCTTGTAAAAACATGGGCACCTGCATCTCAGTGATATATTCATCTGTACTTGAAGCATTTCAGCTGTTTTATATAGCTCTACAGCTTGGGTCCGAGGTCTACGTTCTGAAGCCTTAATTCTTAAGCACCTCTCAGTGGCTTAACACTCTTTTATAGCTTTCATTGTGTTTTCATTTATAGCGTGTGTATTCCTGTATTTTAAAGAAAAATGGTGACCAGTACCGATGAGCTTTAGTCTCTTTATTACTTTAATGCAAGGTGGAGCTTAGCACAATAAACCAAAGTCTCCCAATATCACCTAGTTTTGTCACAGATTTATTGCAAATATGAGATGCCTTCAAAAAGCCTGCACAAATGGATAAACAGGATTAAGAAATATTAGAATAAGTTTGGTTCTAGGTGATTTCTGAAGCAGAAATGATACATCTCTTTCTCTGAAATGTTTAAGGAGAAAAAAGCTGCAAAAGTCAAAGAATACATTTTGAGTCTTGAACTTAATTTTCTTCTTTTCTGTGTAGTTAAAAACAAATGTCATTTTATTCATATGTATAAACTAAGAAATCTGTTTTAAATTAGGACTTTTAAAAAACTTTTACTGGAATGACGACCCTGGAACATCACACGATTGAATTATGCAGGTCCACTCATATATGAATCTGTTTCAATAAATACAGTGCAGGACTACAAATGTATTTTCTCTTCCCTATGATTTTCTTAATAACATTTTCTTTTATCTAGGTTACCTTATTGTAAGAATAGATATATGTAACATACAAAATATATTTACTCAGCTATTTATATTCCCGTTAAGGTTATGATTAACAGTAGGCTGAGTGGTTAAGTTTTTGGGGAGTTAAAAGTTTTATGTGGAGTTTTGACTGAGTTGGGAGGAGGGGTCGGTGCCCCAATCCCAGCATTGTTCAAGGGTCAACTGTACTGATGATAGGGAAAAAATAATGTAGAAAACTTTGATTAGTTCAAGGAAATTATTATAGTTACAATAGCTAATAAGTAGCTATATAACAGCTAATAAAAGCTCACACACTTATTTAGCATTTACTACATGCCAGGCTCTGGCCAGATCACAGTCCTGGCTAGATCATAGAAGTGAAGCACAGAAGAGTTAGAAAAATTGTCATGCAACTAACCAATATTTAAACTTGGTCATTCTGACTAGAAAGCTCAGTTTCTTAACATAACATAATGCAATCCCATAAAAAGCAATCACCATAAAGATACAAAGCTCAATTACAAAGAAACAATGATTTAACCTTTAAAAAACTAATGCTGATACTAAAAAATATTCCTTCGATAATACTTTGACATTATTAGGAGGGCAGAGACAGCAAGCATGTACTTTTCTGTCTTAAATTCCTAAATCCTTAATAATGTAAATGAAGAGGAATATTAATTTATAATATCAAGGGTAATTTGCATAATGAAAATACCATCTGTTCAATGGAACTTAGTATAACAATAGTAATGAGACAAATATTATCTAAAAAGGTATTTCTCTGTTGAATTATGAAATACTTGAGATTAAAAGTGAGATTGTTAAAACCTGCTTTTATGCTATAACATATCCTGTAAACCACGTTCATCAAGATTGCTGAATCCTGTCTAAAGAAACTACATGGTATTTAAAAACTTGGTATCTTCTACTTGTTTCAATTCAATTTGAAATCTTTCAGGAGTACCTCCTCACTGGCAAAATTCCAAGCTATTCATTCACAGTGCAGGATACAAAGGGCACATGCAAGCCTGATAGAGGAACTGTTAAGTAGATAAGGAAGGACGTTTTAATGCTTATTGTTACTATATCAAATTCAAAACCAAAACAAGTGACCTAACCGAAAGATATCTAGGAACTGGGAAGACAGGCTGAAATATAGCAAAGAAAGCCCCAAGTCCACTCTATACATTCATACAGTACCTGGGAGCTGAATCTGTGAACATCGTCAGAGGCACTGACGAGATCAATGGAAGACATGGAGGAAGAGCGACTATAGGGCTACCAGAGACAGACAAAGAAAAAACCAAGTAATCAGAACAAAGGCACAACAGAGCATTCAGTACCAACTTCCAAACACAAGATAAAGAAAGAGAGAACAAAGCACCATATGAAACAGGCTCAGCAGCAAGTGCTGACTTCATGCACCTATTATGGTTTATGCTCCAAAATCTTTCTAAAAAGAATGCAGTGCTTCTAGTAATACAGCATGATACCACTTAACCCCAAAGAAAAAAGTGATTTAATATAACTAGTTATGCTTGTGGTTAACTATCAGACTAGCTACTCCTAACCACCCCCATTCCCACTTTCCCCTTAAAGAAAAAAGAAAGAACCATTATAATTCAGAAAATGATTTCTAACCGCTCTGGAGGAAAAACATATAATACCAAAAAATCTCATCACCTAAATTCAAGAAAAGTGAAAACTTATACAAGATAGTTCCATCCACACTGAAGAGCAGTACAATATATAATTTCAGTGAGCTCTGATATTAGCTTACCTTTTGGACAAACCTATGAGTCCCCACAGAAGAAAAGGCATCTCCAGATGGCATAGATGTAGGCCAATGTAATCTGACCTTTTCACTCTGTGACTAAGAAAACATGTAATGTTAGGTGGGAAGGTTTTAAAGTGTACTTTGCAGCTTAAGAATGGATAATATAACCTGGAACTACCAATATTTAATTACTGAACACTTCAGTACTTATAAATACTTGAATCACAAAAATACTTAAAAGGTACAAGCCTTGCTAAATCCTGACACTTAATTCATGTATTCTAATTCAAACTCTTCTATCAGACTCCATAAGGTACTAACTTTGACCAGGGATCGGTTCTTTGATTCTGCCCCTAGTCAGACTCTCCAATACCAGCATGGCATTATTTACTATGAATCTTTATTAACACTGTTGTTAAAGTAATTTTCTTACATCCTAACTCTGGCCAAATTATTCCAATTATTCAACTTTGTTAGGGCTGCACAGAGCTATACCAACTGAACAAGTATCATTAATTGCTTCAGTTATGTTCCAAAGACCCTACAATGGATATCTTCTCTCTTTTCTATGAAGGTATTCACACCTGTTAAACTGTCACTTAACCTCCTTCCTCCTCCTGAGCTTGCTTAATTTCTTCTCAGTTATTCAATGTATACTAAATATGATGTACCAGAACCTGTGCTGTGTTGTGTGTGTACTCATCTTTTAACTATGCATAAGACAAGTAGTAATCTCTATTCAGCACTATCTGAACAGGACTGTTAAGATCTCATTTCTTACTCACCACTTTACTGAAAATATCTTTATGTTGGCAAATAACTTAGAACAATGTAAACTCAAAAATGTATCACTGAAGAATGCCTAAGCAGTGGCTGTGCTGTGGAGAGCCTGTGCAACATCTACTGCCTATAATGAGGGAAATGATCTGAATCTTTGGAACTCATTTCATGGATTACTAAAGCATACTACTCCCAATTGTTGCCACACTATAATTATCTTTGTGATATCAATGTGTCTATTAGGCAAGGAAAATTATGGTCTGTTTAATGACCTATTTGGTAGAGTATCTACCAGAATGTCAAGAACAGACTGAAGTTAAATAGTCTCATGAATATTTTTCTTCGAAAGTTTATAAAAGTTTTCATCGATCCTTTAAAACTCTAACTTAACCACTGTATTAATATCCAGCATAGTAGGATTTTAGAGCCAGAAAAGATAATTTGAAATACCTTGTGTAACTCTTTGTTTTATATATTAGAAAACCAAGGCCCAGATAATTTAGTGATAAGTTTACAGCTACATAGTTAGTCACTTACAAAATTTAGATTGAAGTTGTCTTGACCTACTCTCCCAGAATAGAACAGCTTAGATTAAAAGAAAATCAAAATAAAAAATACCACAGTGAAGTAAAAAAAAAAAAAAAAAAAAATCAACAACAAAACAAAACAAACCCCAAAACAACAAAATCTAAAAAGTCAAACACAATGACACTCTTCCAGGAAATACTTTAAGTATCCAAAAATGGAGCTCATTTAGGAACTGAAAGTTTCCACTCTTACTTAATGCTGTATAATATCTTTTGAATGAGCGATATGCTTTATAAATTAATGTAACAACACCTTTTTATCACTTACGATATTAAAAAAACAATGAAAAAGAAACATGGAAAGAAAATGTCAGTCTTGCAGGTGATTTACCATCAGGGAGACAGACCAGTAAATGGGCCTAACAGTCATGACCACCTTAGCAATGACAAAGAATGAAAAGCCAACTTATCTACACAAGTTAATTTGTAGTATAACTGATACACTTACTAATTTATTTGCCAGATGCTTAAAGCCCTGGGGAAGTGACTAAAATTCGCCCTTAAGCACCATCTAGTGGCATATATGGTACCTGCACTATTGCAGAACTAGAAGGCAAAGGGTCATACTAATCCTGAGACTAGAGTTAAAAGATTTAAGAAATGTTTTCCTTCAATTTCCAAAAACAGCTGGGTATGACTTTTGGGAATTTGATAATGATGAAATACTGAGCAAAGTCAAAAGGGAGAAAGCAATCCAAGGTGAAGGTAGTGAAAGCTTTAAAGGAGTTAAAGAAAAATTGAATGGTAGTAATTTAGAAGAAAAAATTACATTCTTGGTCATCTTTCTTGTGATTTCATATGGTTGGTGCTTTGTGGTAAAGAGAAATTCACAGAGACTATTTTTTTTTCAGATTAAGTATATACTTGTTCTTAATAAAAAGATAATAAAGCTGGATACTTCAAGGGGAACAGGCAGAATATTTCCATTTAGTTTCATGTAAATTATGCATGCTTCCTTTAAACAATCAGTGGTTTCTTTTTCATTGCTTAGAAATTAATCAATGAAGGAAATGACTTTCAGTGTAGACAGTTCATTTTCTGGGTTATTAGGTTCACAGCTTTCAAATTCTATTTATATGATAAAATAATGTATATCAAAATATGCCTAATGTTAGAATTTTTAATAATAGATATACCTGTTCTTCTATTTTATCTTGTCTGTCAAGAGCAGCTTCAACAGCATCAAAGAATTCTTCTTCATTAATCAGACTGTTTGGACCTTCCTATTCAAACACACGGGAGAAAAAAATCACTTGATTAAAGACAATATAAAACCCTCATAACCCTAGCATTAACTCTAGAGAAAAGCTGAAATGTGACTTGACAAATATTTATAAATCAGTAAATATACAAAGTAATGTTACAAAGACATGGAACATATGCTCTGCGCAAAATCATGAGCGTCACAATTAATTAATGTCTTCAACACTCATAACAATTAATTCATGTATTCAACACTCATATACTCACTGTATACTGACCAGCACTGTGTTAGAGTGATAGTTTAGAACAGGGGCATTGGTGAACTATGTCCAGGAGTTAAATTTAGCCCACTGCCTATTTGTGCATGGCCTTTGAGCTGAGAATTTCATTTTTAAGTGGCTGGATAAGAAAAAATAGCAACATTTCATGACATGTGAGAATTCTAGGATATAAAAGTAATGTTTTGCTGGAATACAATCATACTCATTCATTTAGGTATTGTCTATGCCTCCTTTCATGCTATAGTGGCAGAGGTGAGCACCTGTGACTAAGTACCTGGTAAGAGAAAACATATTAAACTGCAGAAAATCCACAGCCAATAACAAGTACAGACAAGAGTTTTCTGAGGGGCATCTTCCTAAGCAAAGACAATTATTTCATGGAGAAAGAAAAATTGGACTGATACTTATAAACCTGGTTAGATGGCAAAGCAGTGCTTCTCAGTCACCTAGGAAATTGCCTTGGGAAGCTGTTAAATGGAAAATTCCTAGTCTCCCGTATGCAGAAATCACTTCTCAATGGGTCTTGGGTGGAGCCAGGAATATGTATGTGTAATAAGTTCTCAACAGTATCAGATGTACAATAAATAAAGAGAAAATGAAAAAAAGCAAAGTATGTTCCTACTGTGATGACACAAGTGAGTGGACTGTAAGTGGAACAATAGCTTCATGTTAGGGTAAAAGCTGAGACTGAAAAGGTAGGCTGGGTTTATGGTTCCCTAAATTTTAAAATATACAAAGACACATGAATAACTGCTGGCCTGTCTAGAGTTTTTCCAGTTAGAATGAATACCCCGTGCCATCACTATCCCATTATAAAGTACCTAGCAACATCACACCACCCCCACAACCAGGGGTGGGAGGAACTATGGTGTAATGCTCTTGTCACTTGGCACAGGCATATAGACACCTTGATTTAATGCACTAGCTCTTTTAGAGCTACGAGGCTCCTTCATGACCACTTAAAAAAAAAACACAACTTTTTTTTAGCGATAGTATACAAACAATGCGCATTTCAATGAATTATCATTAAGTTAATACAGCCATCTAATGACCAGCTGGATCATGAACCAGAACAGTAACAATACTCCAGAGGCCTCTCTCCTACAGGATTCCCTTCATAAATCCCAAACATTTCAGATATTCAAGTAAAAGCCATGTAACTCTGCTTGAAGTGAGAAAAATAGGAACTACCCCAAATCTAATCTGAATTCATACATATTTCCTAACGCTTTTAAAATTTCTACTGATCATAACCACATCTGCATTTAAAAAAATTTTTTTTTTTTTATATTTTTATTTATTTCTAGGAGAGAGAGAGAGACAGCGTGAGCAGGGGAGGGTCAGAGAGAGAGGGAGATACAGATTCTGAAATAGGCTCCAGGCTCCGAGCTGGCAGACAGCACAGAGCCCGACGCGGGGCTCGAACCCACGAAGCGCGAGATCATGACCTAAGCGAAAGTCGGACGCTTAACCGACTAAGCCACCCAGGCGCCCCTGCATTTTAAAAATTTTAAGGCTCATTCAATCTATGCATCACTTCAGTCTCAGGGGTCTAACTGGGAACTTTAGCATTAAAAAATTCTACTTTGATAAATTAAACGGGCAAATAAGACAGGTACATCTTTCCTTTGATGGCACATGGGAGGAAGAACTAAAGTAATTGGAATAAAGTTTCCTTTATTAAAAAACTGAAGCCCCTTTTAACTCATCATGCTTACCAAGGAAAAGAGCTATTCATTGTTAAATCTGTGGGACACACCAATCTTTACCTTACTTGCTCCATTAGCAGCATTTCTTACGTTAATGACGCTCTTGGAAGAGTTCTCTCCCCTTGGATTCCTGTTTTCCCAATTCCTGTCTATCTAAGCCTCTTCTCTGGATCCCTTAAATATGGCTGTTCCTCAGGGTTCTACACTTGCTCTCCCCACAGGACTTATTCATTTTTAAGGCTTTAGTCATCATGTGATGATTCCCCAAATCCACAGCCTATCTATCCATTTCTCACTCAGTGTTAGATCTTTGTATCTAATAATACCTAATGTCTCAAAATTCATATGCAACATGTCTAAAACCTGTTTCTTCCCCTATCTCTACACCCATCTAAGGCAGAATGGTGGGTCTGTTCTAGATTCTTCCAGTTTCCTTCCTTCAATCACCACACCCTTTAATCCTACTTTCTAACTATCTAAATTTACCCTGGTGTCTATTCCTACTCTCTATCTTAATTTAGGCTATCTTCAATTCTCACCTGTAAGACTGACAAGTCTTGGAAGCTCCTAGTCAATAGCTGTCAACTTCAATATTACCTGCGCAACAGGGAGCAAGATTGATTTTCTGAAAACTTCTCTTGCTTAAAATCCATGAGAGACTCTTGAATGCTGAGAAACAAACTGAGAACGGATGGATGTGGGGGGGAGGGGGGAGATGGGCATGGAGGAGGGCACCTGTGGGGATGAGCACTGGGTGTTATATGAAAACCAATTTGACCATAAACTACTTGTAAAAAAAAAAAAAAAAAAAAAATCCATTGCCCGAGGATCTGTAAGGATTCTTGTAGACCTTGCATGCCAAGCTTAACACTCCCTCCTCACAACTGGCTCCACCCTCCACAGATAAGGTCTTTCAGTTCCCCTGGGGGCAAAATATTCTTAGGTTTATTTATTTATTTTTTTTAAGCTCCTGGCTTTCAAAAGTTTTCCTACTTCTCAGCCCCTACAAGAAACATTCTATGCTGTGCACCTGGTTAGTATTTTCTCAGCCTACTCATTTTTTTTTTTAATATAATTTATTGTCAAATTGGCTAACATACATCGTGTACAGTGTGCTCTCGGTTTTAGGCGTAGATTCCCGTGATTCATCGCTTACATACAATACCCAGTGCTCATCCCAACAAATGCCCTGCTCAATGCCCATCACCCATTTTCCCCTCTTCCCCACAACCCCATCCACCCTCAGTTTGTTCTCTGTATTTAAGTCTCTTATTGTTTCCTTCCCTCCTTCTCTGTTTCTATCTATTTTTTCCCCTTCCCTTTCCCCATGGTCTTCTGTTAAGTTGCTCAAGTTCCACATATGAATGAAAACATATATCTGTCTTCCTGACTGACTTATTTCACTTAGCATAATATCCTCCAGTTCCATCTCATTCTTAAGGTTTCAGCTAAGATGTTGTATTCCTTGGGAAGCCATCCCTGACTCAAAAACCTCTCAGTGCTAACAGTGCTTCATACTTGCTTGTTAACTAGCTTGTTTTCCCATAATGTACTCAGGCAGGATCCTGTATATCCCCATGCCTAGTATAGTAGCTTGCACATATAGTAAATCTTAAGGAACGAATTTAAGATTATAAACTAATTTCTGAAGACACACATGACAAAAACCGTAAAGTTTTGTTCAATAATTAGAACATCAAAAATGTTTGATAAGAACCAAAGTAAGATCATATTCTGAGTTAGTGTCTAAAATCCATGCAAGTGTAGTACTCATACATGAAAATACAGATGGCTCACAAACAGCCAAAGGAAGTGGCAAAAGTATAAAAACAAGCCCTAGTTCATTTTAGAACTGAGTATTTCACTTGATACCAAAGGGGGGTTCAGAGTGAAAAAAAGTTAAGTGCCCTTAATAACCACGTTCTTCATTAAAAGAGAAAGAGGTATCTGCATTTCAGATGGATGGAAATCAGATCATTTATTCAACATATGCCACTAAAATAAAATATAGATTCCTATATTATACCATAATCTAAAAAAAATACAATACACTTAAAGTAGGGAATGCTATTTTAAGCACAATACCAAATGTAGCAATAAGAACATTGAAAGACTGAGGAATGACAGGAAAGTATAAAACTTTTATATGGCAAAACCAATGATCAAAAGTCTGAAAACCTAAAAAAGGAAGAAAACAAATGAAAAATGAAAAGCTAATCTTCCACATCTCCTAAATCAATAAAAACTTAATAAAAATGTTCAGGGACATGGATAAGTGAATCATTAGAGAAGAAATACAAATGGCCAATAAACATTTTTTTAAGAAAGTCATATCAATAAATAAAGCAATTAAAAAAATCTGAAACTAGTGAACAAATAAACTCAGCACAATGCTCCTCCTTCTTCCACCTTGCTTTCCACCACCCTGCCCCCCAAAACCCATGCTGACAGAAGCAAAGGTAAACAAGTATGCAACTATACTTCTATGTGGCTGGTAGGAGATAAAGTGGTACCATAATTTTTAAACACACATGGGCTTTGTTGCATTTTCTATAATCTGCCTATATGAACATCTGATTTTATTTATAATATGAACAAATTAGGTAATTTTAAAAAGTTGATAGTTTACCCCCAAAATGAACCAAAAGTAACAAAAACAATCTGTTTAGCTTCAGAATAAAAGTTTAAATTATACTAGCTTATATTTGAGTAATTTGGTTTTTTAAAACCCTAATGATACCTAATTATAGGAATTTTACACATTCTCCAAGGGATAATTGACAGCTTAATAATTTTGAAGTATCACAGGTTGGGGCACCTGGGTGGCTCAGTCGGTTAAGCATCCGACCTTGGCTCAGGTCAGATCTCATGGTTCGTGGGTTCAAACCCTGCATGAGGCTCTGCGCTGACAGCTCAGAGCCTGGAGCCTGCTTCAGATTTTGTGTCTCCCTCTCTCTCTGACCCTCCCTCACTCATGCCCTCTCTCTGTCCCAAAAATAAATAAACTATAAAACAAATTTTTTTTGAAGTATCATAGCTCAAGTCTCATCGTAATGAATTTCCACAGCTGGAAATCAATTGCAACATAAAAATACTTGGGGGTGCCTGGTGACTCAATCAGCTAATCCAACTCTGATTTCAACTCAGGTCTTGATCTCACAGTTCTCTGCCTCTTCTCTGTTCGCACACACGTGTGCTAGCTCTCTCTCAAATAAACATTTTTAAAAAAAATAGTTAATAGCAACTCTACTTTTTTCCTTTCTAGAAAAAAAATGGCGAGAAATTTTTCTTCTATTATCTTAAAAATAAACTAACCATAATTATTTTATCAGTCTATCTAAATGACATTCCTTGCCACTCCATTTTTAAAATGTGCATTTCAGGAATATCAACAATAATTAATGACTATTATCAGATATATTTCTTATACTTTTTTCCTCTAAGAAATATTGTGGAAAAATATCTTAAAATTTTAATATCAGTGTGTATATATGGAGAGGGAGAATTTATTCAATGCTTAACAATAAACAAGAGACAAGAAGATGGTTTCAGATATTTTCAAAAAATAAGGACAATGCAATGAGGACAAGCTCATGTTCTGCTATGGACAGGACCTCAAAGTATATATAACAGCACAGACTAAAATCTTTTTCTCTGTATTTTACTCAGTTTTTTTCTTGCATAAGTTGCTTTTATTAAAAACAAGAAGAATTAGAAGATAACATTAAAAATTATCATCCTCACAGGAAAGAGGACTCAGTTTGTGAGTCCGAGCCCTGCATTGGGCTCCGTGCTGACAGCTCAGAGGCTGGAGCCTGCTTCGGATTCCGTGTCTTCCTCTCTCTCTGCCCTCTCCTACTCACACTCTGTCTCTGTCTCTCAAAAATAAAAAAATTAAAAATTAAAAAAAAAATCACTTATGATAGGAGAAGATAGGATTCAGTAGACAGAGAGGGAAAGATTAGGGCTTGAGGTCCCTGGGTGGAGAAAAACACCTATTTTGGAACAAGGCTAGGAGTGTCTGAACTCAGCAAACTCCCTCAGGTGTAAGGCTCCTCTTAAGAAAGTTAACAAACCAGGGGGCCTGAGTGGCTCAGTCGGTTAAGTGTCTGACTTCCGCTCAGGTCCCATCTCCGGTTTGTGAGTTCAAGCCCTGCACTGGGCTCTGTGCTGACAACTCAGAGCCTGGAGCCTGCTTCAGATTCTGTGTCTCCGCCTCTCTCTGCCTGCCCCTTCCATGCTCATGCTCTGTCTCGCTCTGTCTCTCAATAATACATGTTAAAAAAATTAAAAAAAAAAAAAAAAGAATGTAACAAACCCCACCTACTCCCCCTTCGGATTTACCTCAGAAATTTGACAAAAGACCAAAGTAAGGCCATAGAACACTCTCATTCAATGAAAACGAGCCAATCAGGAATGGACAACCCAGCCCCTAGAACGATCAAGCCCATAAGGGTAGAACTTGAGAAGCAACGAGAGGGAAGGGAAGGGGAAAGGCTGACCAAAACCTTATAGAACAAGGACCCTTGCCTATATGATCCTCAGGCATTCACTTTCAAAAGTCCCCTCTCTGTAAAGAGTACTTTCCTATCATTCTTCCTTTCTAATCTTATATTCCAAACAACTTCTGTCTGCTGCTCATTTTGTGTCCACCTCTTCATTCTTTGAAGCAGTGAGACAATGAATCCAGGTATTCTGGTATAAAATCCTGCAACATTATGATAGATATGGCATATGTTTTCCTCCTTCTAAAATCAAAATATAACTTCATACCTCATAATCTGGTCCTCCAAAGTGGGATTTTTTCTTAAGTTCTGTCATGGCATTTTTGTATGCCTCTTCTATTCTTCTTCTCTTCTCACTTTCCTATTTTTTAAAAAAAGCAACAAGTGAAAAATTAACATCTGAAGTGGAATTTTCTCTGCATTTCACTTAAGTTTTATAATTTGGCTAAACAATAGCAACAGCAACAATAATTAAAAGAAACAGTTGACTCCTATGAAAAATGAGCATTATTCTGCCCAAGAAAACACTTTTCTCTGAGCTATACATTGCACACAAGCTACCATTTAAATCATCACTAAAATTTATCTTAAAGGTAGGTTATATATTTAAGTGTATGTATTTATTTTGCTTTAAAGAAAAAAAGCAATGAATGTGAAGAAAATAATTTACAGGTGAAATCAACGAATGCTAAAATATATTCTAAGAAAGATGAATTTCTGGTACTTTTCCTTCTGCTGGTTAAAACTATTTTAGAGCTGAAAAAGAGCATAGATTTCTACTTTGATCCTCTCCTTTAATCTATAGCTTTAAGGGGCTAAAAGACCAAAGATGAACACATAGACACATTAAAAAAGGCTGGCCCCCTCGGGCACCTGTGTGACTCAGTCAAGAGTGAGAGTAACGATTTCAGCTCAGGTCATGATCTCACCTTCCTGAGATCAAGACCGAGATCTAGCCCTGGGTTCCTATAGCTTCGAGCTGACAGTTCTGGGCCTGCTTGGGATTTTCTCTCTCCTTTGGCTCTGCCGCTCCCCTACTAGCACTCTCTCTCTCTCTCTCAAAATAAATAAACAAACATTAAAAAAGAAAAAAAAAATAGCTGGCCCTGACACCGATCTCAAACTTCTTTCTACAACAACGAATAGACTGCACTGGTCAAATGTGATAGCTTAGTCTAACAAGCTTATAAGGAATCTAATGCCTTTCTTCCCTTACCTCAAATCCTTAAGGGCTAACTTAAAGTCCACAGGAACTCACACAAAACTAACTACTTCCAAATACCCTACGTGAATTAAAGCTTGGGCAAATCAGTGAATTATTCATTGGATCCAAAGACTAATTTTGCATACTCAAGAGAAAGTGGGTCTACAGACCAACCAGAATGGCTAAAATATAAAATCAAAACATATACCCACAAAAACCTTACAATAATGAAGTGTTGCTAAGAGAGAAGAGCAAAGGAATTCACATCTATTGCTGGAAGAAGTATAAATGGACATAATCACTTTGAAAAATTGTTTGCCAATATCCACCACAGCTAGCACATACCCCATGAACCAACAATTCTATTCCTAGGTACATGCCCAAGAGAAATGAGTGAATATCACCCAAAAGGTATGTACAAGAATGTTCATAGCAGCTTTATTCACAATAGCCAAAATATAAAAACCTAAGTGTCCATCAAAAGGAAAACGTGATAAGCAACTTCAAGTCATACAATCAAATACAACAATGAAAAAGAATAAGCCACCACTAAATTTAATAATACAAATGAATTTCATGGTCAATGTTGAAGGGAAAAAAGCCAGATGCAAGAGTGTATATGGTCACATCTCAAGATGGTGGACCAGCAAAAGGCATGCAGGAACCTTCCGGGGTGCTATAAAAATTCTTTATCTTAATCAAAGTGGTGGTTATAGGGGTGTATACATATGCAAAAAAATCATCAAGTAGGACACTTAAGACTGGTAGTACACCTCACCATACTTATGCTATACCTTAACTTTAAAAACTGAACAAAACAAAATCATACAGCACAATAGTAACATTCGAAGGACTTAAGGGAAAGTGAAAAACCACATGAATACACATGAGATCCTATTAATGTAAGCAAACATTTTCAATGAATTGATTTTCTCTTATTAATATTGTTAATAAATAAAATTGTTATTCTTAGAATTTCTGGTCTTCTTGGACATGACTAGCTAACAATTAAGTAAACTTCTATAATAGAAGGATTATTACAGGTAAACAAGAAAAATTGTCACCACTAAATATTAATTTTCTATTACTCAGCTGAAAAAATAATAGAACTGACATTAGAAATCAAAGTATAAACAATACTGCTATCAAATACCTGTCATTATATCACCTATTACCTATTTAATTGCCCTTGTTAGATTTAAGCTCCTTGGGGGCCAATTTCCTGTTCATTGCTGTTTCCCCATTTCTAGCTTAGAGGCTAGCACATTACAAGCATACAAATACTTTTTGAATGGAACAGAAACTTCAGTTAAATCATATTAAATTACCACTGTACTTTCCTTCCTAATTATATGAATCACTTAAAAGACCTATTTGTTGATAAACAACTCTCCCCATTCAAGAACTTTCGTTATATAATGTGTCTTATACATATAAACATATTTATATGTATATATACACACATATGTAGGTACACTACACATACACATATCTATACTATTTATACATAGGTATATACACACACATACATACTGTGTATCACACTTACCCACACTCTTACATTTCACATAAAATGTAACTGAGATCCTATGTCAACTTAGAGAAAAAGTTACAGTGAAGAGGTGAGTAAGATTTGACATCACATCTGTAAAAAGTCTCTACAATGTAGAAGTTTCTGAATTTCACGTAATACTGCCATCTTTTGTGGCTTTTCTTTGGTTAAATATTGCATGGAGGTACATACGGGTGGCTCAGCTGGTTAAGCATCCACCTCTTGATTTTGGCTCAGGTCATGATCTCATGGTTTGTGAGTTCAAGACCCGCATCGGGCTCTGTGTTGACAGTAAGAAGCTTTCTTGGGATTCTCTCCATCCCTTCCTCAATCATGCTCACTCTCTCTCTCTCTCTCTCAAAATAAGTAAATCTAAAAAAAAAAATGATGTGTGGAAAAGCAACAAAATTCTTTTTCACAGATCTTTTATGGTCCCCCCAACAAAAAAGAGTGGATAAGACTGACAACAGTGAAGATATCCAAAAGCCTACCTCCCTTTTCAGCACTGCAAGTAAGAAACTTGATTGCTGAAAAGATGGGAAAGTCATGTTTTATTTTCAATAAAATAATTTTTATGTTAGCGTGGTTAGAGTACATGACTTGATCATGATGATCCGTCAGTGAAGGATAAACAGACAAGAGACTGGAACCTTAAGAGAAATTGCCCCAAAGTTTGAAATAAGCTAGTCTGGACAAATTGAATGATACTCTTGAACTAATGGTCTAATAGATTTAAGGGGTTGTCCTATTTACTCAATACTTAATTTTTTGTGTACACACATAAAATACTAAAAAAACTCAATTTGTTTCACACTGGTATAGAACTGAAATCTCTGAAAATATTGATAATTTGACTCTAGAATAGTAATACAATGTCTGTACCTTAAATATACATTTTCACTGCTTGTTTTTAAAAGATATATATGGCCACTCAATATGGCCGTCACTAGTAATTAAGAATTTTTTTCTTTTATGGGCACCTGGGTGGATCAGTGAATTAAGCATCTGACTTCGGCTCAGGTCATTATCCTGTGATTTGTGGGTTTGAGCCGTGCATTGGGCTCTGTGCGGACAGCTTAAAGCCTTGAGCCTGCTTTGGATTCTGTTTCCCTCTCTCTCTCTACCCCTCCCTGCTCGTGCTTCGTCTCTCTCTCTTTCAAAAATAAACATTAAAAAAATTTTTTTTTAAAGAATTCTTTTCTTTTAAACATGGGGACTTCCTTAGACACATGGTAGTATTCAAATCCTGTGGCCATTCTGCCATTATACCAGTGTTAATATTGTTTTACCTAGCTTCCTGCTCATATTGATAAGACCTTCAACTACTACAAACAATGTGACTCACTCATACATGACAAGTTTTTGACTAATGTCTGGCCTAGTATTCAGAGCTGAAATATAACATTGGGTAAAATTCTTCCAACAGCTACTTAGCATTTCTGGACCAGTCTCTGTGCCTCAGATCCTTCTTTAAATGATGGCATTAGACCAGAACTAAATCTTCTGAGACATGTTTCGGTTCTAACATTTTATTATTTTACTGATGTTGAATTCTAAATAGAAGTTTTCCTACTAAACAAATTCACTGAACCAAAGGTGACATTAGGAACTAAAGATTCATATTGTAATAGTATTATGAGTGCTGAAGTCTAAACAAAGGTGGAACCAGGTGAATATGAGGCAAATGTTCAATGAACATAATATATGTTAAATAATAGCACAATGACCCTGGAAAGTATATGTAGCTATGAACACAGTAAGTTAATGTTTAACTTTATAAACTGGTGTTTAAGTCAGCTCAAAGAACTTAAAATGCAGCTTAATGTATTTCACAATTAAGCTAGGTAATGTTAAATGGCTCATCACTTCTATTCCAAGGCATTTTTATTATTACTAAAAAAATTTTTATATTAAAATCCTACTAAGAATTTATGTTTATAGTAACTGAATACAAAACTGGTGAATCTCATTAGGAAAATGAGTTTAAGATGCCCACAAAATTTCAGATGAGTAGTACCTACAACTTTTACCAATCCCAATAGATTTTTTTCCCCTAAGAAATTAGTATAAAACTGAAATCAAATTGGATTAGTTTTGAAAAAGAAAAAAAATAAGACTTACCTTATCCAGTCTTTTTTGCCAGCTTTCTTCGCGTTTTACCATTAGTTCAATACAATGAGAAAGTGTAGCAAGGATTCCAGCAGTAGTTGCTTTAAAAGTTATCGCCTCCCCTTTAAAGTCTATACCATTAATTCCTCTTGGTGTTACATGTGGAAATACTGGGGAAAAAAAAGTTATTCACTGAAAATCTTTGTAATGAAGATACAGGTCTTTATCAAAATTTAAAACTAGAAAATGTTTAAAAGCTCAGCAAGTCAGAGTAGGCTCTTGGATTCTAATTTCCCTCTTGATTGTCAATATTTAAAAACTTCCATCCATACTCTATAAGCAAAGAAGCTTGTGTCAGTGTATGTACTTTCATAGTTTTTTTCCAGATGCTGTTTCCTGAAATCTATTTGCAGTACTGCACCCAGTGAACAAAGTGGTCAGAGGAATACTTTAACGATAATACTCTGACAGCTTTAAGCGGGACAAAACTATGGCAAGAACTACCTTACATTATGAGAGACCTAAAATTTAAAAAATATCTAAAGATAAACTGTAGAAATGAATAAGGTATGTATAATTTTAAAATAAACATCCAAAATTAAGTCTGAGAACAAGCACATGTTAAATAGCTCTTATATTTATATTTTATAATTTTAACTCAGAATTAGTCTTTGAATTAAATGAAAAATCTTACAATTTACAAGATGCAAGCAAGAGAGCATAATATGTTATACCATTCACTAATAAGAAACCATTCTAAGAGAACTCTCTAAGTGAAATAATGATACTTTCAACTTTAATAACTCCTATATGTATATGACTTAGCAAAGGTACAATCCACAAAACAAACAGATAAAATGAACTTCATCAAAATTTAAAATTTCTCCTCTTGAAAAGTACTGTTAAAAGAATGAAAGTTGCAGTTATGTAGAATGAATAAGTCTAGAGGTCTAATGTATGGCATGAAGACTATAGTTAATAATACTGTAAATTTGCTAAGACAGGAGATTTATCAATTTTGGTATCTTTTCAAAGAACCAATTTATAGTTCAACTGTGTTGTATTCTGAGCCTCTTTCTTCTTTTAGAAAAAAGGTGTTTCAGCTATAAGTTTCCCTAAGCACAGCTTTAGTTACAGCCCAACAGTTTTGGTAATTTGTATTTTTCCTTTCATTCATCTCATAGTATTTTTTTTAATGTCTTTATTTTATTTTATTTTGAGAGACAGAGACAGAGAGTGAGTGGCGGAGGGTCAGAGAGAGAGGGAGAACACAGAATCTGAAGCAGGTTCCAGGCTCTGAGTTGTCAGCACAGAGCCTAACATGGGGCTTGAACCAATGGACTGTGAGATCATGACCTGAGCTGAAGTCGGACGCTTAACCGACTGAGCCACCCAGGCGCCTCAGTGTCATAGTATTTTCTATTTCCTGATTTTGTCTTTAATATGAGGGTGTTAATTTCTACATATTTGTGAATACCCTAAATTTCTGTCATTGATTTCTAATTTTATTCCTTTGTGGTTAGAGGATATACTTTGTATGATTTCAATCCTTTTCAATTAATCGACGCTTGTTTTATGGTCTCTCCTAAAGAATGTTCCATGTACAAATGAAAAGAATATATATTTTCCTATTGTTAAGTGGAGAGTTCCACAGATGTCTACCAGGTTTGTTTGTTTGTAAGTATTTTATTTCCTTGCTGGTTTTCTTCCTACTGAAGAAAGTTCTATCCATTACTGAAAACTGGACACTGAAGTCTCAAACTATTACAATTCAATTGTCTTTTTTTCCCTCTTCAAATCTGTTCAGTTTTAGCTCTATGTGTTTTGGGGCTCTGTTATTATATACAACTACATGTTTAATTGTTATACCTTTTTGATGAATTAACACTATTATCATAAAGTCTCCCCTTTTGACTCTAGAAATATAAAGAAAAGAATGCAGAGAACATAAGAGAAGAAACTTTACTTTGGAGGTAAATGTTGTTCACAGAAGACCAAGGAAACAGTCCTTCCACCATGATTTAGAAATGTGAGATCATGACCTGAGCCAAAGTTGGATGCTTAACTGACTGAGCTACCCAAGCATCTGAGGAAGGTGTTTTCACATCCAAAAATTCCTCCTGTAGTCTACTATTCAAATTACCTTTAATTGTTTTTATTATCATCTTAGAACCTGTCTCAGTTTTATTCTATTCTTCACATCTCACCTCTAATCCTGTTCTTGGAATACATACAATTTACTATCAGGTTGGTACACTAGTTCTAAATTTTTAAAACCTTTAACATATTCACTAATCACAATATGTAATCCAGACCAAATGTTTTTAAGTTTATTTATTTATTTTTGAGAGAGAAAGAGCGCGCGAGCGAGCACGAGTGGGGTAAGGAGTAGAGAGAGAGGGAGAGAGAATCCCAAGCAGGCTTTGTACTGACAGCACAGAGCCTGACATGGGGTTCAATCCCACGACCATGAGATCATGATCTAGGCCAAAATCAAGAGTTGGGACCCTTAACCTATTGAGCCACCCAGGTGCCCCTAGACCAAAGCTTTAATGATGGTCCTAATGGTGAAAATCATTACAATGACCACTCCCAAGAATGAGGTATCATTTCTCCCTTTTCTGATGCTGGCTGCATCTAGCACTAAGATTCTGTCTTTTTTTAAGAGATGACTGACACTCTAGTCCCATGCTATGATCAAGCAGTATCAGATTTAATGACTACATGTTATGTTCACTTTGCCAGATTATATACAAAGCTTCTAACTCATTTCTAGAGGTTAGCCACAGAAAGATATTTCCATTTATGGTGACTAACAAGAGTTAATTTCCAACAACACTACGAAAGGAATTATTTTCTTTATTTTAAAAGTTTTTATTTTTGGAGAGAGAGAGCACAAGCACAAGCAGAGAGGGGCAGAGACAGAGAGAGAGAGGGAGGTATGGGAGACAGAATCCCAACCAGGCTCTACATTGTTAGCACGACACCTGATGCAGGGCTCGAACCCACAAACCATGATATCTGGACCTGAGCTGAAATCAAGAGTCAGATGTTTAACTGACTGAGCTACCCAGGTGCCCCAAGAAAAGAATTATTTTATTTTAATGTTGTTTTATTTTTGAGACAGAGACAGAGAGAGAAAGAGAGAGAAAGAGAGAGAATATGAACAGGGAACAGGCAAAGAGGGAGACACAGAATCTGCAACAGGCTCCAAGATCAGAGCTGTCAGCACAGAGCTTGACGTGAGGCTCAAACTCACGAACCGCGAAATCATGACCTGAGCCAACACTGGACACTTAACCAACTGAGCCACCCAGGTGCCTCAAAAGGAATTATTTTAAACAGTGCATTCCACAAGTATACTTTAAACATGACTCATGATCAAAAAATTATGCAAACATCTTGTCGGGTATTTCTCTAAATGACTTTAATAACCTTGTCTACAGTTGCTTGATTTCAAGTCTCCAGAAAAAGAGAATGGACGTTCTCCTCAAATGTCTGGAAATTTGGCTACCTGTTCACATTTAAGAGTAAGTTACTAGAAGCTCTGTAAGCATTAGCAGGGTTTTAAAATTAACAGACTTCACTGAAGGGTGATCTGATAGTGAGACAGCTTCTTCATGGTAGACATAGAAAATCTCTATAGGTCCTTTCCCTGTGCTCATTCAACATCTACAGAGTCATGTTCTATTTTGTATCAGAAAATATAAGTCTGGTTGATGGGTATTCTGGACACAGGGCAAAAGAAGGGAGCTTCAGTACACAGACTTTCATTTAGTGGCTAGCCACCAGAGTTCTTGGAGATAAAAAGAACAATGAAATTGTTAAATTTCAATAATCAGTTTGTAAATTTCTGCATAATCATTTTTTGATAGGCCAATACAACTATCTTTTACTATGCTAGGTATTCCAGAATCTAGAACTGTCCACTTCAATTTCTACAGAAAATAAATTTTTATTCTATTCTGGGGTGTGTAGGTGGGGTGGCTGACTGGGCTGGAAGACTGGACCTGCAACGCTTACGATTTCTTTTAACAATTTTTCCAATATCCAAACAAAATATTTTTCCATTAAGGCAGATTATTTATTGTGAAATTAAAATATAACTTGAAATAATCTTCCTTGAATAATCTTCTAATTTAATAAAGATAAATCTAGATGGGTCGATAAGGTTCAACATTTCAGTCCCAAGTTTTAAAGATAACCTTGTAGTAAGAAGCTAGTATTTAGCAAGACTGGGAGGAGGGCAGGTCATAAGGAAGAAGAAAGCTATGATGAAACTAAGAAACAGGAAGAGCAAAAAGGAAAAAGTAGAGGGGAGAGAAATATCAGATTTTAGTATCAATAAAAGAATATTCTACTGAGATCTATGAAACAAAATTAATTCCATGCATACAACAATTTGAAAAATTATTTAAAAACAGGACACAAATTATACTTCATATTCTTTCATAATGTTAGCAAAAATAGGCACAATTAGATTAACTTATTCTCCTCACAAAGTCTTATTATTGTAACTTAAAAATTTTTTACAAATCTAATCCAACTTTTTCTTAGGATATTTCAAAAGAAGAGTACTGACTATGGATCACAGGTTTCTGGATTTTTTTGGTTTGTTTTCAGGTTGTTTTTTTAAGATTCCTCATGTAAATGATAACATGCAGTATTTGTCTTTGGCTTATTTCTCTGTATTTAGGCCCTCGAGCTTTATTCATGTTGTTGCAAATCACAGGTTTCTAATGAACAATTCAGAATTCCATTTAGTAAGTTAGCCATTATAAATACAGCAACAATAAATGGGTATATGAAATAAACCACCTTGCTCCTGGGTCTATAAACAAATTCACGGTGAAATCAGAGCTATTTTTAATAACTTTCCTTTAATAATACTGATTATATACTTTTTAATACCAGTTGAGTGGAGGCAGAAAAGAATGTTAAACAGGGAGAATATACTGTAAATAAACATTCAAATTATATTATAATGCCCCCCCCACAAGAAATAAACTTTCACTACTAGAAACTGATTTTATAAAATACTGGTGAAATAAGCAAGTCAATGTCTGGAATTTAGAATGAGTCTTTGTTAGAGAATGATTTGTCACTATTATTTAATGTCAGAATGTGTATTTTACTCACATCTCTTCCTAGAAGAAACTTTCACTTTCCAGTAGTTACAATGCTTTTAAAAAACTACTCAATTAGATAATTATTCTTGTTATATACTTAGTTATTATATAACTTTAGAAAGTACACTTAATCCAGCCAACCGGAAAAAATATACTACTTACACTTTTCCTTATTGCCATTAGTATTATGCAAGAAGTCTCCATCAGAACGCGTTGTAGGAAAGTCATCTTCATCATCTTCTACCACTAAATAAAATATATTTTAGGATATTAGGATTAAAGGAAATAGAATAACCAGTTTGTTCTTATGTTGGAATGAGTCAGTATATTCTGGATTCTGTGAGTACAAGACCTTATTTACCTCTGTATTTTCAAAGGTTGTCAAGGTATGCCCAACAAACATGCTGTGGAATGTCTTTAAATACAATACATTATTAGATAAAATGTACCCATTCTCATTTGTGTAAAGGATAATATTGAGATATGAATTATTTTGTTCTTTAGTCGTCCTATCCCTTCCTACCCAGCTTGGGGTGATTTCATAAGTCTACCAGAGAGGCCTGCAAGGGTTGAGCAGGACTGTAAGAGAATAAGTTACATGCAAGAGATACCTTAACTTGCCTCTTGGAGTTCTTAAATTTACTATTTCTGCATGTGTAGCGAAAACAGAATGACTTATAGGTATGATATCAATTTGCATTCATCCTCATGTGTCTGTGACTGGACATCTCTTTTAACTTGCCCTGTTCCAGAAAAAACCAGAATCCCCTATGTTCTCTTTCTGCATACCTCTTTGTTTGTTCTATGTTCTATCCCTTTTTCTACAGCCCAACATACATTAATCCTCTGTATTATGTATTTCACTCTTAATGCAAATTTATAAACCTAAGCTCCCCAACTTTATTCTCTGCTATCACACTTAAAAAAATTTTTTTTTCATGTTTATTTATTATTGAGAGACAGAGACAGACAGAGCACAAGCATGGTAGGGGCAGAGAGAGGGAGACACAGAATCTGAAGCAGGCTCCAGGCTCTGAGCTGTCAGCACAGAACCCGAGGCGGGGCTCGAACTCATAAACCATGAGACCATGACCCGAGCTGAAGTCAGATGCTCAACTGACTGAGCCACCCAGGTGCCCCTCTGCTATTACTTTTTTAATGGTTTCTTTATTTTCTTTTTAGGTACTCTCTCTCTATATAAGAAGTCTTCGTTCTAAATTAATGTTTTACTTCTTGTCTATATCTCTTTACATCAGGAGTAATTTCATCCTACAACAAACATTTAATCTACTTTAGCTATCTCTCCCCAGTGGATGTAGAGCCCACTCCTGTTTCTTATTCCTCCCCTAAATGGTAATAACCACCATGGAAAATACTTTTGTTCTATACTGCCATTTTCTAGTTACTGGGCTATTTCATTTTTTCATCACTTAAAAATCTTGCTACTCATCCATAATAACTTTTTCAAATCATAAGCTGCTATTATCTACTAATATCTACTATTCATTTTTACCTAGCAAAGTTATATCAATACCTGACTAACATTTTTCTTTTCTACGTTCATCATTTCTATAGACGTCAGTATTCATTCATATTGAAGCCTCTGCAGACACCTTAGTCCCAAGATTAATCATCAGATTTCCAGACTGTGTGGATCTTCATCTTCTTGTTAATCATTTGCAAATATGGTCAAATTTAAGAAGTTCATTAACACAACATACTGCTCTGCTTTTAAATCAGTACTTACCATCAGACAAGATCCTGACCCTGACTCAATACTATTCTGATTAACTCTTCTTAAATACTACTGAAAGGTTTGGGGCTCACTTACCTCACTAGTATCTGCTTTGGGTTCTGTGTTTCTAACCATGTAATAGCCTCGTATCACCAAACAGGGATTTTCAACTTTATTTTTCTAGCCCAACACTCAATACATAAAACTGATGAAAACAAGAGCAGTTCTGGCTAAAAGAGTGGCCTTCCCACTTTCCTTCCCAACCAAGTATTCCTTGTCCATCCTTGAGGCACCTTAAGGGATGTCTGACATGATTTAAAGTCACTGTCCTAATATAAATTCCCCATCACAATCAGACTGGTCTTCTTTGCTAACATTCAAATCTATTAACGCTAAAGTATCTTTGGAGCTTGCACATTCCTGCTTTCCTTATCTCTGCAACAAACCAAACAAACCACATTAAAAATAGCAGCTATTATTATTGAATTTTTGCTGTTAAGCACAGTTCTAATGTATATATGTTCTCACTTAATTCTCACAATCATATGTGCTGGATATAACATCCACTTTACAGTTGAGAAAACAGATGTGGAAAAATGTTAAGTAATCTACGTCAAGTCATCAAGCTAACAATGAATAACAATGAATAAAAAGAGCAAGATTGATAGAAACTTTCCTTTATTGTGATACATGTATCTTCTTTTAAAATCAAACAGTATGTTTAAGATATACCCAATATATATATAAGACTTAAAGGTTAGTTAAATCATACTGAAATATATATGGCAATGTGGGGTGGTCTAACTAAGACAGCTGAACTAACAATTCTGATTAAACATTTTATATAAAAACAATGAACACCTAAAACAAATGAGAATTTGCTATATCATTTCAATGATATACTTAATAAAGCACAGTGATTCTTAAAATTCTTTAAGCCATAAAAAAACTTCACACCAAGCATACTCTACCCAGCAAAGTTATCATTTAGAATTCAAGGAGAGGTAAAGAGTTTTCCACAGAAGCAAAAGCTAAAGGAGTTTGGCTAAATCGGCCTTACATGAAATGTTAAAAGGGCTTCTTTAGGCTGAAAAGAAAGTGTCCTAATTAGAAACAAGAAAACATAGAAAAGAATAAATTCTCATTGGAAAGGTAAACAGAGAATAAAGGTAGTGGACTAATAACTTTATTTATTTTGATAGAGAGAAGAGAGAGCACGAGCAGGGCAGAGAGAGAGAGAGAAAGAATGCCAAGATGATTCCACACCATCAATGTCCTGATGTGGGGCTCTAACTCACAAACTGTGAGATCATGACCTGAGCTAAAATCAAGAACTAGATGCTTAACTGAGTCACCCAGGTGCCTCCAAAGTATTGATAATTTAATGAAAGATCCTTAGACTGGATTCAGTAACTCTGATTTACAAAGTAGGAAACTGTATCCATGTCCTTATTTCAACTTTATCCAGCATGTCTTCTTAAAAATATCAGTATTTCTTACAATAGCATTTATAGGGAAATCAGTTGTTATGGGTTGAATTATGTCCCTGCAACATAGAAGTCCTAACTTTCTGTACCTCAGAATGTGACTATATCTGGAGATAAGGTCTTTATGGAAGTAATCAAATTAAAATGAGGTCACTGGGTGGGCCCTAATTCAAGACGAACAGTGTACTTCTAAAAGAAGGAAATTTAAACACAGGCACTTACAGAAGGAAGATGATGTGAAGAAAGGGAAGAGACAACTATCTATATGTTGAGGGAGGGAAAATAGATCCTTCCTTCACGGCCCTCCGAAGAAACCAACATTGGTAACAACTCATCTCAGACTTTGAGCCTTCAGAATTGTGAGACAATAAATTTTTCTTGTTTAAGCCACCTAGTCCGTAGTACTTTGTGATAACAGCCCTAGCAAATAAATATATTAGTCTACCACTGTTGCTATTTATTCAAACATGAATAGTGTTTAAGGTTAGTTTTCAAATATTCTATATAACCTGGTTATCACTACATCCCAACTTCTAAGCCTTCCACTATCACTTCTGTCCTTGAAATGTTCTATACTACTGGTATGACCATTTAAAAATAAATCAATTCTGTATATATTCTCTTTTTGCTGAAAGGGCTACTTGCAAGCAAATGAAAAATAATGTGTAATGTTTAATTTGATTAAAAAAAGATATACACACAATTTTCTTAAGGAGAAACAGAAGTTCAATTGCCTTTAATTTTAGAGAAATAAATATCAAATGTTAAAGAACCTAAAACTTAAAGTGTATCAAATGTAAAGAATTTCAAGGCTACTTAACTTAGACAAAATTAAGTACTTTATGAGGAATATGGGTTTCTGCTTCCTACCAAGGTAGAAGAAACAGGCTACCCTCTAGCACGAAACTAAAAACCTGGAAAAACTACATGAAACAGCGGTCTTCAAGACAGTTGATAGTAGGCAACAAAGGACAGTGATTCCTGAGAGTAAGGGAACAACTAACAGGAGCCCTGTGACTGCTCCAGGTTACTGTCTTGGGAGAGTTTCCAAGTTGTAGAGTAAGGAGGAAACCAGGAGTCTGGCAGACTCCCTAAGGTGAGGAGGAACTGACAGTACAGAGATAAAGGTGAGGAGAGTTCACAAGGCAGAGGACTGCTGAGGAAAGGCCCGTACAGAGAAAGATTTCCGGAGATCAGGCCCTTTTGAGCACTCAGTAAAGGACTGTTACCACACACACACGTGAACGAACTATAGAGGTCAGAGAAAGAACCATATGAAAAAATTCCAGGGAAAAGTATCCAAAACCTACACAGTACAAGGAAAAGTACATTTCCACATCATATACCTCATAATTCACAGGGTACTGGTTAGAGAACACCGAAGACTCTTGCCTCAGTAATGGGGAGAAATTAAAATAGGTTCTTACAATATGCTTGGAAGTAGCATGTTACTTGAAAGCAGTTAAATGTATATAGTATAAACCCTAAAGTAGCCACTAAACTAACAAAGAGAAATAACTAAAAGCCAACAAAGGAGATAACAAATAAAATTACTTAAAAAATACTCAATCCAAAAGAAGGCAGAAGCAAGGGAAAAGAACAGAGAGAATAAAAAGTATCAACTCAGATCAAACACATTTAATAAGACCAAGAAATGAAACCTTGTCAAGCAACCCAGTTATACTAGGAATGAACTTAGTGCTATTTAGTAATACTGAAGGCAGTTTTGTCTTCACAGCAAAGGAAGAAATGAAGAACAGATGTTTAACAACATCAGTAATATCTTTAGCAGTAACAACAGAAGAGTAACTTTAAAAACTCACATTATGAATATATTGAAGATCATCTCTCTTAAATAAAAAAAATTCACTGAATATTATTTTTAAATGTTTATGTAGCTCCATTATTGATTTCTTCTTCTATGAGAAAAAGGCCAGAGGAAGGGAGGAGGAGAGACAGAATGAAGAGAAAAAGAAAGGGTGAAGAAGAGGAGAAAGAGAGAGGAATAAAGAGATCGAATGATTTCAGATTTGGAAGATTTAACATACACACGCTTCCCTTTAAGACTCATCATGGGGTAAAATAAATTTTTTTTTAAGTAAGCTCTAGGCCCAACGTGAAGCTTGAACTCAAGGCTCTGAGATCAAGAGTCGCATGCTCTACCAACTGAGCCAGCCAGGTGCCCCAGGGGGGTAAATTTATTAGACATGATCATGTGAAATACCCCATGTTACCAAGATGATAGATATACTTTTTAATGGAATAAAAAGTTTAAAAATCATGTAAAAGTCTTCAATGGCATCTGGTATGAGTGATTAGACGTGTTAATATAGTATACAAGTTATATGGATACTGAAATCTATTACAATGGGGGTTTTCAGCAAGTGACTATAATTACCTTTATCACTTAAAGACATTACCCTTTAAGATCAAGAGGCTTTAAATCCATTCATTCTCCAAGTAAAAATAGTGGTAATAGCCTAATTAACCTTTATCCCTTTGAAGTTCATCCTTGGAGACAACATCAGCACAGGCATCAAAGTACTTCTGTAAAGTATCAACTTGTCTACACAGGATATCTCTAAAGGTTTCCATTTCAGCCAATTTTTCACGTAAACTGTGGCCTTTCTGCAAAACACAAAAAGTGAGGATGTAATCCAAGTTAACAAAACTAGAATTTATATACTCCTATGATGTTTCATCACCTTTTAAAGTCTACATCTCATTACTGAGGGCATGGGGTAGGGAGAGCTGTCAAGTTCAATGTAACACTCCTAAGAATAGACTTGAACATGACTAATTAGTGGCTTGACAGTGATAAGCCTGAAGGAAATAAGGGAACAGTTAAGTCTGACAATGTGCTAATATAACATTTAATATTTTCAAATTAAACACTGTGAGGAAAAATTGTGCAAGGCTTTGGGCAAACATATTAACTTGGTGACCTTTCAAAGAAATGATGAGTGTCAACCACACAACTCTTAGGAGAGAGTGTTGTCTGATCATACAGAATTTAATTTTGTTGCACTGGAGCTATTTTACAACTCTTTAAGTAGTAAAAAACTGAGAGTAATGTAAAAGATTCTGAGTCCACAGAGGTGCAAATGAATTTTGTCCAGTGGACATACTTGGTTACTAATCTCTGAATAGTGACCAGCTTTGCATACATTAACAAAATAATTTCAACGTTCCTTACATTCTTCTTTTAGCCAATTTTTTTCTTTACATCTTATCTCATTAATGAATAAAATAAAATCTGATGTGTTCATTTTAAATTTGTAAAAATCATGATTTTGCACCTTAAAAACTAAAACATCAAATAATATAATGTGGAAAATTTCTTTCAAAAACCTATCAAGTTCTTTTCACAACATTCAGTACTCAATTTATGTTGCCTTAAAGCATACATAATCACAAACCTTGAATGAAGAGGTGGATGTTGCAGAATAGCCACTTGCTCCAGACACCAGTGACACCATAGAGCCATGTCGACGCAAGCTGGATTCAGATCCATATCCAGATTCAGTCTAAAAAGGAAAGTAAACTAAGTGAAAAAAAATCAAATAAAAAATACTTCATTATCACACACACAAAAATTGTAACTCTGTGAGGTAATGGATGTTAACTAAACTTATCACAGTATCATTTCATAATATACATACAGATCAAATCATTATGTCGTATATTTTAATACAATGTTATATGTCAATTATATATCAATAAAACTGGAAAAAACACTCAAGAACAAAAGTTTCCATATAAATAAGGTTATCATAACAATAATTAGCAATTTGAGTCCACTCAAGAAAATATAGGCAACTCATGGCATAACTAATGATCTTTAATTCCTAGCTGCCATTTAATTTAGAAATTTACTGAACAACTTCAGGTTGGGCTAGTGGGCTAGGAGTGTTAAATAACAGGAAAACTACCTCAAGTAGTCAAATTCAGAGACAAAGAATACTGGCTACCAGGGACTAATAGAAGGGGGGAATGAGCACTTGGAATTTAACAGACACAGAGTTTTTGTGGTGTAAGATGGAAAAAAAAAAGTTCTGGAAATGGATGGTGATGTTTGACATGGATGCCACAGAACTGTATACTTAAACATGGCTAAAATGACCAATTGTTAAGTGTATTTTACCAATAAAAAATTGGATAGAACAAGGATAAAAAGATAATAATAGGAAAACTTTCCGCCCTATTTCATTATAGGTGAATCACTTATCCTGGCATAGCTCAAATACAACCATCTCAGTGAAGCCTTTCTTATTATACCAGGCAGTTTGACTCTCTATTCTCAACCATTCTATATCATGATTATGGCATTCAATTAAAATAGTTTTACATTCTGTAATTACAACTGGACTTGGATCTTCTAGAAGGTTGTATCTTCAAAAAATTTTTATAGTTACTTCAATAGTTCATGGCAGAAAGAAAGTTTCCAGTTTAGTCTGTTAAGTAATCACGCCATGGAAGATAATTATTGAGCTCCTGGATATTTGGGTACAGTTAAGACTCCATACTGTAGTACTACTTGGGGTTGGCATTCCTCAGAGCACCAATTTGATATCCCACCCTTATAACAAAAGCATTACTAATAATATAGACAAAGGAAATGAACATTTGAAAAAAATACTTCCAAGTACCTGAAACCTGCTCAAGTGTTTTAGATCTCTATTTTCTATTGCTAGTTTTTAAAAGTACTAAGAATAATTTTAGTCCTAGTCATTAAACTTAAGAGGTAAAAAATATCTAATCATTTTTGGTATCACACCTATTAGCAACACCTAAAAGGTTTTTAGGTTACTTGATTTTCAAGAATAAGATTAGGGATCATTAAAATTAGACACAATGTATTATAGAAATCATTTCTACTGGCATTATTACATCCTCTGTGCTCTAGTTCTGAAAATCCATTATATTTCCAATATAGCTATTGGTTTACACAAGACATTATTCTAACTGAAAAACATTATTTTAGGTAGAAGAACATTAAGTTTTTATACTGATTCAATTAGTAAATAAAATGTGTCCTCGTTTTTATATAAATGATATTAATACTAGTTCAAACATTTTTCCAGTTCAGTATCACTTCATTTAACCTAAGTTTAATACTCTAGAAAGAAAATGGAAAAGGAGGGAGAAAGAATGAGAAAGGAGGAAGAGGAATCCAAAACCAAAAGAGAAAAAAAGCTCATGGAAATGAGAAAAGTACCTTAGGCAAAGAGACTAGAAACTTATCCATGTGAAAACCTCTTAAAATTCAAACTTCCAGTATATACTGGTTGCCACACTAGGTGAAATTATCATACTTCAATAATGGTCATTTATAAAACACTCCATGAGATACTGTAATACGTTCTTAACTATGAATTTACTAAAAAATTACATATAAACTTAAAACTGCATGGGATCAAAGCTCTTCTCCATGACTTACATACATCACCCTACACAACTCCACACCTCAAAGCAAAACAATGTTTTAGTGATGAAGCAAAGTATTTTTGTGCCAGGAAAACTATTAATGAAAGGGTAAAACATGCACTTGATATAAAATTGTACCTCAGGAAAATTGGTATTTTTCTTTTAGAAGACAAAATGAATACATTTTTTAGGCACCCGGGTGGCTTAGTCAGTTAAGCGCTCAACTCGATACTGGCTCAGGTCATGATCTACATACATAGCCATGAGACTATGAGCTTGCTCAGCGTGCTCTCTCAAAAATTTAAAAAAAAAATACATTTGAAGAATGTAATTTGTACCTTAATAAAAAAAAAAAAAAGGTAAGCTTGTTTCAGTATCAAAGAACCCTATCAAAAGAGAATTCAAATTATAGCAATCATATAAGACTTTTGAAATAATATCTCAAGCTAGATTCTTTACCTAAAATGGCTCTAATCTCTTGTCTTTTGATAATAATGTTAACTTTCTAAAGTTGATGTTTCTACACTTTGATTGTATTGGTTTGGTAAAGTTTTTCATTCAACTTAAATATAGAAGACTAGGGGTGTCTGGGTGGCTCAGTTGGTTAAGCATGTGACTTCGGCTCAGGTCATGATCTCAAAGTTCATGGGGCCTCATACTTTTGGCTCTGCACTGACAGCTCAGAGCCTGGAGGCTGCTTTGGATTCTATGTTTCCCTGTCTGTCTGCCCCTTCCCTGCTTGTTCTTTCTCTCTCAAAAATAAAATACACATTTTATAAATAAACAAATAAAATAAATAGACAGATATAGCTGGAAATAAAAATTAGAGGAATCTGTAAGACTAAAAATATAAGGTACTCTGTAAGTCACTGATCTCAGACAACTATGTGTTACTCATCTTTAATTAAACAGAAATTAATCTGAATTGTCTATTTAAATACAAAACCATCCTTTGATTTACAATAAAAATTTATAATATTATAATAGGTTTTGGATATTTATTTGCAAAATATTTAAAACCAAACAATTTGAAATTTAAATCCAAATAAATCTACCGTCTCCATCTAGTCGTATTTTATCAGTGGGTTTTGGAGGAAGGAAAAACTGCTTACTTTTGAAAGATCTTGAAACAAAATAGAAATACAACAAAGTTTTTCTAAAAGTTTCTTCACCATAAAATATATTTCTTATCTCTGTCTATTTTTTCAGGTTCCATGGTTTCAAAACAAGTAATATTTCCTCTCAACTAAGACATTATAGAACAGAGACTCTAATGTAGCAATACTGATAGTGTTGTACATTTTAAGTAATGGATAGTAAATGAATATGGAGGCTGAGAGTTGAGTGTAATTGCAATTCTACCTCTAATAAAGTTTCACTTAAATAAATTCCATTAGGAATTAAATAAAATTATTTGAATGAAAAAAATATACTAAGCAATTGCGTGGCTATTCATTTTAAACAATGGAGGGTCATTTGTGATTCTATTTCAATCAATAACTACACTAATATAACTTTAAACATAAATAAATGTTTAACAAACATACATATATACATACACGAATGAATCCTCACTGTTTAAAATCTAGTCATTCTGGAAATGCTCGTAATTGTGCAATGATACTGACACTGCATGAGACATTCTTAATGGTATTACCACAACATTTAGAGTAATTTTATGACAGAGCCACAAAATGGATCAAATCATCTTTAGGAATCACAGAATAAAAATTAGAGAACACTCTCATCACTTTAAAGGAAGAGATTCAAGGGGCCTGGGTGGCTCAGTTGGTTGAGCATCCGCCTCTTGATTCTGGCTCAGGTCATGATTCCAGGATCATGGGATCAAGCCCCGTGCTGCGCTCTGAGCTGTCAGCTGGGAGTCTGCTTGGGATTACTCTCCCTCTCCCCCTACTCCTGTTCTCTCTCTCAGATAAACAGAAAAGGAAAAAAGAAAAAGAAAAAGAAAAGGCTTCAAACTGGATGATTCAGCTTGAGTGCCTTTCTTATTCATGTGATATGGCTCTGATTTAGTTTTAGAGTTCTCTAAAAACATCTAATTTATCACCAAAGATAACAAAAATTTAAAAACATTTGGTCATAAATGCTAAAAGTATTTCTAAGAGAAAAGTTATAAAACTATTCTGAAAAGGGACAGAGTTCCTGGCATCTCCTTTGTCTTGCCAAGATAACTTGCTTTAAAGGCAACAATACTCATCCTGAATTTATTTATACAGTATGCTATTTGAAGATGACGTGGGGTGAAGGAAGCAAGAATGGAAACGGGAAAAAAATTAGTTTACGTCACAACTGATATCCTGTTAAATGTTCTTAAAAACTGTAACATGCTTTTAAAATCACATTGGTATGACTGGGAAACTTCAAAGGCATGCTGGCTTTTTCTTAATGCCACTTAATTTTCCACAAGAAAAGCAAAGTTGAGCTTACTTAAAACTTCTAATCACCAATATATAATATTTTGAAAACACAAAATTCTATCTAAAATCAATAATGAAGAATTCAAATAGAGTTACTATAGGAATGTTTACCTTTCAGTATATCTGCTTAAACGTACTGACAAAATGCTTTCCAAAAATATCCTTCTTTCCCAAATTTGCATCCCAAATACCACAGTGAAATCACACCTTTATTATAATGTTCCTTTTATTAAAACCAAAAAAGAAAAAAAAAAGTCCCCACACAAAAAAACCCCACACTCTTTTAGCCACTAGATGGGATCAGTAGCATTTTTTAAGCAGCAAGACACTTGGAAAACTGATACAAAGGTTACTACTGGTCAAAGTACAATAGTAACCTTTAGACTGATTCCTTTATGTGTAACTTTACCTTCTGTATTTTCAGTTGTTGAGAAAAATTGAAAGCACAATAAATTAAATCATACAGGTCAAAGTTATGACTTTAATGCAGTGGTTAAAAAACACAGCAAAAAGGCTGACTTATTTTAATAGCACCTACCTTTTGAAAAGCTCATTCTTTTTCCTAATAACATTCTCCAGCAAGAAACACAGCAAAGAAACTGAGACAGACTAAGAACTTCCTCATGGTGTCAAAAACCATCTAGTTATTAGTGGCAAAGTTT